ATTTATAGCGGCCCCGGAGGAGCCGCCTGGCCCGCGGGGGTGGGGGGTCCCGGAGGGCAGCGCTCCCCGCGCGGCGAGGGGCCGGCGCGGCTGAGGCGGGACAGCTGCGGGCGGCGCGGGGCTCGCCTGGAATGCGGGCGCCGGCCGCGCGCCGCGACTTTTATGGAAACTTGGAGCGGCGGCGCCTCGGCCGCAGCCAAGGGGCGCGCAGCAGCTCCAGCCGCAGAGCAGCGACCGCGGCGGCGGGGCAGGCGCTCCCAGGTAAGCGCGGCCGGCAGCGCCGCGGGYTCCCGCGGGGGAAGCCGGAGGGGCGCCCGCTGCCGGGGCGCCCGCTGGGGCGACGCGCGCGGCGGCCGTTGGCGGGGGCGCGGCTCGAGGGGGCCCCTGCCCCACCCCTAACGGCCGTTGTCCCAACGGCCGCCCTGCTCCTCGCGCGGCGCCCGGCGGCGCTTGAAGCCCTTTTAAGAAGTAGGAACGGGACGGGAGCGGCGCGGCTGGCCCTTCCTAGCGGGAAGACTTGGATGGAAGCGCCAGGAGTTCAGTTAAAATGTATATCTATATATGTAGACAGATATAACTGTGGGCTGCGGAGTTTTGGGTTTCACCCAGGTTCCCCCCTCAAGCAGGGCAGAGTCCTGGCTGAGGCAGTTACTCCTGGCCGGTTGTGGAGCGAAGGATCCAGGCACCTGGATCGTGTTCCCGGGCACACATGGCGTGGCGGGCAGCAGCGAAGGCAGCCAGGGCAGGTAGGGCCCGCGGGCTCCCGCTGGGCTCGTGCCTCTGGCTGGTGCCTGCAGAGAGCTGCCCAAGGAAAAGGCAACGTCAAAACAAGAGTTACGCAACCCTGATACTGGCAGAAGGCGCCGCGTTTCCAGAGACGTGCAGTGTGGTGTCTGCTGGAAATCTGTTTCTCAATACCGTTACACCTAGTAAAAGCGTTTTTAAGGTCCTGTCTGTTCTCAAACCACATGTCTCTGCTCTTGTATAAGGAGAAATTCAATTTTGTGCATATGGTCTTCAGTAAGAGYCACATATTAGGAGTCCATTTTTGTATGTTCTACTACTTCCTAAAATGATCATGGCTTGATCTATACTTGGAATCAAGTGTCGGATTTCCGAGGCAGCAGCTTCATACTTTTTATTTTTTCCAATGTATTTTAGGTGGATATTCAATAACATCTGGAGATTTTTATTTTTTTTAAAAAAAAGAAGTTCAGTGACATGTATTAGTATTTTAAAAATTGGGCAGCAAGTAAGTAAGACTTAATGCTCTTAAACTTATATTGCAATCCTCTTAGGAAAATAAGAAGAAAATCTCTTAGGAAAATATCCAATAAAATGGAGTTGTTAAACAAAAATTAGTCTTGGAAGAGGCCCATATGTGTTAAGCAATACCCAGAAGCATGAAAGAACATCTAGTGTATGGAGAAAGCACCCCATCCCATGAAATACAAGAAGGAGGTAGACAGCTTTAAGACACGTGCCTAAGAAATACTTTCTCTAACTGTGTTTGATATTTTAAATGAGCACTTTCCTCTGAGCAAGAGGCCAGACAATCTGTAATTTACARTACTTGAGTTTTCGGTTCTGAAACCCTATCTCAACAAGGAGCAGTGCCATTTCCAAGCTATCTGAAAACTGGATGGGGGAAAGCTGAGGTGAAAGTTAATAACTCCAGGGAAGTACTTTGCAAAGTAATAGGAGCTTCCCCTCACTGTGCTTTGAACGAAGCTGTGGCACTCCGCAGCTGAAAGCCCTTAAGTGCTTCTGGCTTTTATCAGCATCAAGGCTACCAACCAAGTAATGTGGCCAGAGGGAAYGGGCTGCAGCAGTGGTTTGTCTCCAGGAAGGCTGGAGACTCTCCCTGCAGTGTGAATGTGGAGTGGGAAGAGAGATGGCCCTGATTTTCTGGAGTTGTCCTGGAGGGGCTCGGAGAAGTAATGGTGAGCAGATAGGCTAACTCCCATCTTTTAAGAGGGGCAGAAGCAAATTGCAGTAATATCTGTTATCCTACATCTGTTATCCTACATTTCAGTACTCTAATCTCTGGAGTCCTAACAGTGAAGTCAGCAAGAGTCAAGCTCAGATCCTGCTGTACCTCCTCAGCTGCTATGAAGAGTGTGACATGAGACAGGATATCTTGGTTTTTCACTTGGAGAACTGGGCTTGTAGCTTCCTGCCACCACTGACTGGGATCATTTGGTGTCTTAGAACATGAATTCACAGGGCAAAAATTCTTAGGAGGCCTTTCCTATGGCAGACCTTTCTGTAAGCCGCACTATATCTGTTGTGACGTGTGCAGTCCGCAATAGTATCTGAAGAGAGTAAGGAATTGCCTCTGCCATGGAGAAGGGCCATCTAATTTYCTAACACAGGAGTTAGGCTGCATGGCAGTGTCACATGAAGAGTATTTATGGACATATAAATAGACRCTTCATAATAAATACATCATTACAAATAGCATATACTGAAAGATGCTTCTACTGTAGCAGGAGGCTTTTAATGTCAAAGTGCAATAAACTCTTAGGAGTGAGAAGAAGTTTCTATATGCAGTTGAGTGATCTGGACTGATTGCTGGTAAGCACTAGAGTTCAATAATAAGTTATGAATTGAATATAACTGAACAGAAACAGTTTTCTCTCTTGTGTTATACCAAATGCAGTGTTCAGGCAGCTGGTGTTAGTGGTCATAACTCCCTGGCATCAGTGGAGCTGACAGTTTCCGCTGGCTCAGGCTCTTCCCCTGTGTGTGACCTTCTCAGTATCTGCTTTGGTATCTGAGGTTTAGTAGAGTAACTCCAGGTAACGTCACACCAGACAAGTGACAGTAAGGCGATACATGAGGAACAACAGTCCCTTTCCTTTTCTCTTTCCAGGTCTATTTTATATTTCTTTAAATATTCAACATTGTGAACTGTCTTTTCCCCTCCTAAGTGCTTTGGCTGCAAGTAAAAAGTTTCCACTGCTGGCAATATGGTCTCCTTATATAATGGAGTCTTCCCTGCAAGTAGATCACAGAAAGGAGACAGATGGCAAACGTAACATAGACTGTGCTGTAAACGCTTATTTATAACTCGCAGTAGCCAGTGTGACTGTAGGGGGGAGCCTACTGAAAAGGGAGATCACGGAGGAACTGGACTTTTATCCTGGCTTCCTACTCCCYGCTGTAAGCAGTAGTATTCAGTTCAGGGAGACGTTGGGACCTTTCTGCACCTCATACAAGGATGTTCGCCGCTCCACTGAAAAGCAAGAATGTTGCTTCTGTGTTTACTAATGGAGTTATGTCCAATAAGATAATGGATTGACTATGGGGTTACCTTAGATAACAAAAAATATTTAAATTGGGAGGGTTTTTATTTGATTAAAGCTGTGTAACAGATTTTGATGAACTGAGGAGTTTTGTTTTCCTTTCAGAAACTGAAAATAATTAAATTTAAGGAGATAACTGTTGAGAACTGTGATCGATCAAACCTTTTGTGTCCCCTCAATGGCTCTCCTTGTTTAGTTGGATTTTCTGAACCAAAGGAAGGTTTTAAGGTGCGTGGATGAAAAACTGAACAGCTGGGATGGTCACAACAATTTAAGATGCATCACACCAGAAGAGATGCTTACCCCTCCACAACCAGCARTCAGGTGCTTGAAAACAGCCGCTTGCCCCCTCCACCACTCTGTGAAGTAGCTTTGCATGGAGTGTTTTTAGTCTGTTGCCTATTTTTCCATGTGTTTCTGGTTTTGTATTCAATTTTTACCTCAAATCTCTGAGAGGTCACTCTACACATTAGAGACAGTCAAGCCATTCTATTAATGGCATTCTCTCTTTCATACTATTCCAGAGGTAACAATTTTAATCACCCACGTCCTTCCAGGAAAGTCTCTGTGTGGACCTCCTACTGGTTGTAGAGAAAGTTCTGGAAAACATTGAAACATTAAAACGTTGACTAATATTTCCTAGGATAGCTTTATTTAATAATATGAAAGCTGAAATGTGGAAAAAAATATAATTTGAGACAGATGTCAGGTGACTGCTAAGATGATGAGACTGGATAAGTTTAAAAAAAAAGAAAAAAGTCATGTAGTAACAGGCTCAGTTAATTTTTGATCATTGTGCTCAATGTTCTACTTTTTTTTTTTTTGTGAGGGGTGGGGGTGAGACAATGCAATTAGGAGCTCTTACAACTTTCTTTGAGATGTGGTGATCTCAGAGAAACAGATGAGAAGGCGACTGAATTTCAAGATTTTGGACAGCTTTATAATAGTGTGACAAATCTCTTCTAAAGTAGGTACTTACATAAGCAGCCATCATTGCCTCAAAGAATGAGCATCACTTGAATTATATGAATTCTGTGGAAACTGTCTTACTGTAAAACAAGGAGATATATATGACTTGTTCTTCTCAAAGGGGAATTAAGTAGAGGCATCATTTTATTCAAAAGTAGCTGCTTTTCGAAATGTCCATGTCAAAGTTTCTTGGGCTGGAGAACTCGTTACTACATACTTCATGCCAAGCTAATGAGCAGATGCTGAAGGAACTAATCTCTTACAGTCTGTAGGTGTCAGGACTTCTTGACCTACTCACACTGATTTTCTCAGCACTAATACAGAGAGTGCCCAGATCATCTTCTAACTGCCAATGTCAATATAAAGGAGCTTCCGTGTGCTCTCAGTGTTCCTAGAGCAACAGTAAATAGTAAGGAAAAAAAGAAAAAGATTCCGGATTGCATTTATTGAAAACTACTTGACTGCCTGCAGTGGTCTCTGAGACTGATTCCTGCTGCTCTTCTTGCCCAGGGTATAACTGACATGGAGGCAGAGGAGAGTGTAAACAGGGGTGGGTTGTATTGTGTTTAGTTAGGCCCGACTGCGTTATATTCTTATCTTTTAGCATCAAATGTGAAGGTAGGGTGACTTGCAGTTGCAAAATGTGTAAGAGCCAGCTGGCTACCCTTCAAGCCTGTTARCAGTTAGGTGATGCCAAAGAAATGGAAAGTAACCTAGAGTAATAGCAGACGTGGCAATATTCCAAAAGATAGAAATGTATCCGTCAACTCTAAGGCCCACAACTTGTTGGACAGGCACATATGAGGAATGTAGTATATACAGGAATTTGCAAAGAGAGTGCTTTGTATGAAAATTTTAGTTTTGCTTTTGAGTCAGCAATTTTAGTGATGATTTTGAGATGGGTTAGGTTATCAGAAATATTCAAGGTAAAGTTGATCAAAAAGATAAGAAAACTATTCAGAAGCAAAATTACCCTAAGTATTCTCAGATTCGTAAATGTGATCTTCTCCCTAAGGTGAACCCCACGTAATCAGCAAATTAGACTTGAGAATAGTTGCAGACCTCAAACAACTTCAAGATCAAGCCATGTAGGTTGTGTACCCTGCTGTAATGGAGGTTAGTCATCTATAGCAATCACTAGCCGGTGATTTAGGTGAAATGGAAATTTCTCTGTGAAATACTATATTTGGGAATTGCTTTTTTCCCCCCTCCACCCCAGTCCTGTAGTAAGCCCAGTGGGTCTCATATTTCCTAAGACACTTCAGTGCAGGAATTGCACCAATGCATGAAGTTTGTTTTCTAGTCAAATCACGCAGTAGAAATTCTACTTACTTCAGTATTTACTAGGTAAGAGGCTACTGGTCACAAACAGACAAGAAGAAATGCAGAGAAAAGAGATGCAGAGGGAAGAGAACAGAACTTTCCTTAAGACTGGTTTAGAAAAATCAGGACGTCAAAACAAGATTTGACTAGTTTTAAGCAATACAGATCGCAAAGTACATTGTACTTAAGGATATACATGAAGTAAGCTTAAGGCCACAAACACATGCAAACTCAATTGCACAATATATAAATATGCATTCAAGTATATAGGGACCTTGAGACCACAAGAATGCTTATAAAATCATCTGCCTTTCTAGACACAACAGAACTCAAACATGGTATTGCTAATCTAAAACAGTCTAAATACAAGCTTGTCGTGTGTGAGCACATACACAGAAATGCTTGGATTTCTATCAGTCAGATGGGATATTTGCCAACTGTGCCTTGGAGTGACTGACTGACTGACGGATTTGTTGAGTAGGAACATCCTCAGTGTTCTCCASAACATCTCTGTGGGAGCTGAATTTGAAGTTTAGGATTTGTAAATGAGGGCAGAGAACAGTAGCTTAGCACTCTTTCAAGCTCTTATTTTGTAATTTAACATGGCTATGCTTTGGAAAAGCATTCCAAAATACCTCAATCAATTTCTACAGGACAGGAGCACCAGAAAACATTGAGGTCATTTGTTTGTTTCTTAATTTTTACATAAAGACTGCTCTGAATTGTGGATTCCGTTTTGTAAAAGGAAAAGGGACTAGCTGTGTTTGTTTTATGCATGTTTTTGGCTCCATTATTTTGTTTCTTAAAGGTATCACAAAGATTTACAAATGTGTAAAAGTAATATTCCTTTAAGTGAYGACTAATTCTATTCTGAGGACATATGGTTTTAGCATATTTGGTAACATTTTTTGAGTAATATTCATTTGTGTTAACTGGAATTTACAAATCAGAATATTAATGAGAATTTAGCATAAACAAAGATATCGAATTGCTAGCAACTAGTAATCAAATTTGTTTTYCTTTGTTTCACACTTAGAAATTAAAAGTAAGTACCTGGTTTGCACTATGACTTTTAAGGAGTTAATGGCCATTTTGTTCAGTTTTATAGAACRGAACTATGTGGAAACCATCAGCGAGTGCAGAGGATTTTGGAAAATTATTGAAGCAGCTTTAAGCCTTTATTATTGAAGTGAATTTAAGCCTTTACTACATTTTCCTGATTCTAAGCACAGAAAAATATGTGCCTTGAAAATTGTTTTGACATTTACTTTACGCAGGTGCTCTTTCTTCCTCATAATTCCCACCGTATTTTCACCATCYTCCTTTTACAGAGGAAAAAAATGCTGTCCCTCACACTGCTGTCACCCTGTGTCCAAATTCACCAGTMTTGTTCCTTCTTGTTACTCACAGAGGACTATAGTAGTTGGTGTCAGTTAGGGGGCTATAGCGGTTGCCTTTGTCCACGAAGGCCTCATGAAACAACCGAAGGGGTGAGACCCTCAGGCCTTGCTTTCTTTTCCTCACACACCCAAGGGAAGAAGCGGCGCTGCTTCTCTGCCAGAGTGAGGAGAYTGGCGGGGAGATTTCTCCTTCCCTTTCTACAGGCCCAGTGATAAAGGAGGGCTTTGCCACAGATTTTTAAGCACTTTTTGATTAGTTTAATAAAAACAGTGTAATTCAAAATTTGAAATGTTCTCTTGAATAATGCAAGTTATAGCATACAACTAGATGACCTAAATATTGTTTTAAGGTGTGTATACAACCTGTCTAAAATTATTTGCATTATTTGGCATAAACTTGTGGGCTGAAAGACACTTACTGGAGCCACTAGGCTGGCTGTGAAGCAAGGAGGACATTCCCAGGGGCAGGAATTCCAGCTGCAGCTCTGCGGTGGTGGCGGCTGCCCTGGCCACGGGGCCACSCACCCTCTGTGCGGGGTGCTTTGGCCTGGGCGCAAGGACGAGAGCTCCGCAGCTGGAGCAGCACAGCACSTTTCTTGCTGCTGGCAGCAGCTTTGAGAAAAGCAGTTTCGCAACCCTCGGTGTGGGTCAGCCAGTGCTCGGCCCCAAGGGCTGATATATGCTTCTTTTTTTTTTTTTTTTTAAATGAAAATTAAAACCCAGTAGCTAGGTCTATTATAGAGGAGCATGAATAGTGAATTGTAAGCTAGTCCTTTTAATTATTGTTCCATATTTAGAACCTAATTTCTTGTCCTGGCAAGAGCCTCAAAGGACCCAATGAAACTGTGATACACTCACTTCAGCTTATACAAACTTGCTTGCAGGAAGATGATTAAAGCATCAGTTAGGAAAACAGTATAACCATGATTGTTTCTTACAGGTAGAAACTGAAAGCAATCTCAAATATACCACGTGAAGATTGCAGTACCGTAGCCATGAATGACATTGCGCAGAAGACTGAGGTACGTACCGATTATTTTAAAATAAGGAGCATAACGCTGTGATTTACAAATGAGGCTTGTGAAAAGACAAGGGGCAATTACAGGCACTGGTAGGAGAGAAACAGTTCTGCTGCGTCCAGGTGGCGAGCGCAAAACAGCCATTAGCAGAAGGACCCAGGAACGGACTGAGAACGTAGCCTGTTTTTTTAAGATGATAAGCACTTGAAAGGAAGTACATCTGATTTGATGGGATGTGTGAAAAATGTTTTAATGYCATTAAAAGATAGGGAGGAGGGAGGCAAAACAAAATTAGTAGTATGTTAAGAAAAATATTAAAATATTAAACATTCAGAGYAATGTTTTCATCTAACTAGAACATTTAATAAGCTACTTAAAGTATTTATTCTAAAAGATCCACTGAACAACAGGAACATAAGGAAATACATTTTTCTACTATCTACTCTTAGTTCAGGTGGGAAAAAAATGAAATAAGGAATGTTTTTAGTCAATTTTCTGTCTAAGCTAACAGTATTTCTGTAGTGACAACAGTAAAAAGGGACAAAAAGTGAAGTATTTCTGAAAAGTGGGTACCTCTCTTATCACTTGGAAGCAATACACACAGCTTCAGTATTGGCAAAGAACTATCCATTAGCTTTATCAGTATGGGATTCCTGAGAGTGCAGCTCTCTTGACAGGTTACATTGTATCACTGGACCTCTGAATTTCTCTAAATATTAAAAAAGAGTCTATAGACTATTTGAAGTTTCAAATGAAATAATACTAAAAAAAGGTTCAAGAGTTGCAGAAGAAAATATACATATTCTAAGTTATATCTATGTCTTTATACTTATTTTAAGCATGGAGCTAATGGCGTGAGCTCTTCTGATTTTGTTTTCAATGCTTATAATTCCAAATATGTACACACACACACATATATATATATCATACAGTGTAAGCTGTAGAAATAAAGTACTTAGTTCATGGGCTTAGTTACCTAGTTGTCTGTTACAATTACATAAAAGTCTAAGTTTAATGAAAGTTCCAAAGATTTTTGGGGGAGTTGGATTTTTTTTTTTAGTATTTATTGCTATTCAATTATGAATAAATACACTGAAATGTATTGAGATGCCTGATGGATGATGGTGAGTGGTACAAACTTCATAATCCCAAATGCACTTCTGTTTTATGTTCTTTCTTTCTAATCCAGTCTATAAAAAAATGTCTATCCATCTGTTTCAACTTTCTTTTTTCTTATCTTCATTTCTTCTTTATCTTCACCAAGATTCTGCTTTCTTCATCTAAACCCGTCCAAAAATCCTATGTGCCCAAGCTTCACAAGGGTGATGTAAAGGATAAATTTGAAGCTATGCAGAAAGCAAGGGAAGAAAGAAATCAAAGGCGATCTAGAGATGAAAAGCAAAGAAGAAAAGAACAATATGTTAGAGAGAGAGAATGGAACAGGAGAAAGCAGGAGGTCATTTTCTTTGCAAATATTTTGTAATATTAATATTAAATGTTATGTGTGACAATCTTTTCAAATTATTTTAAGACTGTAATGGTGGAATTTTATCTAAAGGTATAAAGACAGCTCACTTTTTGTATTTAATCAACTAGATGAAAGAACTACTTGCATCTGATGAAGATGACGATGCAAAATCATCTAAAATAGAAAAAGGTTACGTTCCAAAGCTTATAGGTAAGAGGGGAACAACTTTAAAAGACACACAACTCACTGGTTAAGTATTTGATCTAAATATTGCATAAATATTGAATTGTGTATTTCATATTCACAGGAACTGTTAAAGGCAAATTTGAAGAGATGGAAAAGCAAAGGCAAGAAGAAGAAAGGAAAAGAACGGAAGAGGAACGAAAGCGCAGAATTGAGCAGGATATGATTGAGAAAAGGAAAATTCAAAGAGAATTGGCAAAAAAAGCCCAGGAGGTATGTCTGCCTGATCCAAACAGGAAGGACATAACTACAAACAATAAAACAAGTACAGAGTTAATAGTGATCAGCAGTTTTAACTGCTTGGTCTTGGGTTTTGGACTGTAATAATATACCAGGGATATGCTGGACAGGATGGAAGCATGGCAGGAAATTAAAGATAACTGAATAATACTTAAAGTAACAATTTTTTAAAAGATTGAGCTTGAGTTATATGTGAAACCAGGCAGGCATAAACCTGGTAGGAATGTGAAAAGGGTAAAATGTTATATGTAAAGAACAGTTAATAGAATTCAACAAACTAACTGGARATTATGTATTTAGTGTATTGTACCCAAAAATACAGTTCACTAATAGATGAACTGAGGCAGCTAAAGAGAAATGGGAAAAAGGCATAAATACACAAAAAGATGCTGCTAATTCAGTTAAAATCACAAAGATAATCTTTTATTCTTTTATCACTTTGGGAATTGTTACATATGTATGTGAACAGTCTCCCACTTTTGTTGATGACAGTGAAGCAAATTACATTAGTATAATTTTGTATTCATGCATCATATTTAATTCCTTCTGTAATTTTCTTCAATGTTGCAAATTCCGCAGTGAGAGTAAACATCTAAAGACAGACCAGAACCACAAGCAAMTATTACAAGAGACAGCAGTACTTAATCTAGATTTGTTTTTAAGAGTCATTCTTCAACAAAGATTTGAATATTATTTTCTACTTAGACTTAACATGGTTATAAATTTAATCTACTTTGAAAGACAGAATTATCTAGCACATAGAATTTTACTAAGTACGTTAGTTTTGGTATGTCATTATATCAGCTAATTTCTAATATTCAAAAATATACAGCTACCTTGTTTTTTTGCAGGGAGTTGAGTTAAAGACAGACAATATTGCTTGGATCAGAAATAACGATTTTGCTTTAATGTTTTTCTCAATTATGGAATGTTTACATGAAGAACAGACACCTAAACTACTTTTCTCAGTTTATCCCCAAAGTGCTAGGTGGGCTTGAGGGGAGTGCTTTCAAGTATGATGTTTTGGKGTCAGTCTCCCCGGCTGTCCACCCATTAGCTACTCTATGAGAGGAGTTCCAATGTACTGCAAAGGTTCAATCATTAAAATCTCTTGTGAATGTAAGTGTTACATACATATCACTGAWACAAAATGAATTTCCATTTTTATGTTTGCAAGTCTAAGGCAAAGAGCCGAAGTAATGTAATCATATGAAATTCTCATTTAATAGATTGATGACTTAAACAATACGGGAACTGAATCAGGAGAAGAGGTAATCAGATTTTTTTCAAGAAACACTCACCTACATTTTTATTCACTTTGTGTTATTGTGGTCACACGGGCTGGGGAAAAAAAGGGCACACAAATTTTTAATATTCCAYGAAGGAGCTAGGAACCTTCTAAAACAAACAGATGTGTGTCTGAGGTCACCTTATTGAAAGAGTCTAGGGTGTCAATGTGTGGGCAGGACACATCTGAGGCTTAAATATAGAGAGCCAGCAGAATATTCTGAGGCCTAATGGCAATGATTCTATAAAGCTTCTAGGTTTGAAAAGTRTTATTTTAATGCAAACAGCTTTAAGGTTGAAATTAAAAGAGGATTCTGTCAATATATAGAGATTTGAACACCCTAGTCAACTGCTTAGACAAATTAATTTTTAATAACAAGAAGGAAGAAATAAAAGAATTAACTTAGGGGTTTGGGTTTTAAGACTTGCAAGTAAAAGTTTTATTTCAAAAAAGCCAGGCTCAAAGGTCCTATTGGCTTTCACTGACACAAGATAATCATGTTTTGACTCAAGTTTTTCAGGGTTTCAAATTTTRTTTGACAGTATCCTTCTTCATCCTGGTATTCTGTGAAAAACTCAAGTGAAGTATATTATGGCATCAATAGTGTTTTGAAGCAGCAAAACACTTCGAAAAATTTGTTCGACAAATTACACATTTCTCTCAAAAAGTACAAGCTTATTCCAACAGAGCATATCCTTTATATAATAAGTACAGGACTGGAAGTTGAGTATAGCTACAGTTGTTATGTATTCAAAATCTCACCTCTTCTCCAAGCCACAAATATTTATGTACATAAGTTTAGGAATTTGCTGACAGTCATGTTTAAAATGCAACTCATTCGTGATCTTCTTCAGATATTACATGAAAAGTAGTGGTTGTCACAGGCAGATGAGTTTTATTCTTACCATTAATAATAAAAGTAATTCTGTTGGAAGCTTTGGCACACACAGGTAAAAGCGACAACTTCAGTAGGAAGGAGTTTGTCTAGAAGACAAGTGTTAACAAAATGTCCTAAATATATATATCTTTTTGGACAGGAGGGGGATGATTCACTGCTGGTTAGAGTAGTGCCTGTAAAACCCACCAAAACACCTGGAACGATGAAAATAAACTTTGAGAACACAGGAAAAGAAAGAGCAGAACAAATGCAGAGGGGWGATGAAGAAAAGAAGCTAAAATATGAGAAACACAAACAACCTCTTAAAGAAGCCAAGTGCCTTTCATTTGTCATGGTAATCTGGTCATCTAAAAATTCTAAAGAAATAAAGATGTCCTACTTAAAACGTAACTATTTCCTTTTTCTTGCATAGAGTGAGAACACAGATAACGAAACCCAAGAGCCTCTTTCTCCTGGTAAGCTGAAAGTAACYTTTGAAGAACTGGAAAGACAGAGACAGGAAAACCAAAGGCGGCAAGCAGAGGAAGAGGCGAGGCAGCGATTGGAAGATGAGAAACGGGCCTTTGAAGAAGCTAGACAGCAAATGGTAAGCAGCTGTTTTGTTCATGTCATCACAGAATTTCACAGAGGATACACCCTTACCTTCTCTCCTCTCTCTGGTTATTCTTATAATTAATTCTCATTTCAATCTCACATGGAGTTTGAAAATTGTATTATCAGGGATTTTAAAATACAGTTTTTTTGCCTTAGGTTTAGTTTGATAATCATATGGGTATAATGTGGACAATCCTTTAGTAAAAGGAGGTAACCTCCTTTTGTATTACATGCAAAACTCCTCCATATATTCCTTATCGTTAATCAGAATTGTTTTGTTAACTACAAAAGTACCTCTCTGGTTTGTTCTTTTTGATAACCCTACATTAATAATATAGTTAGTATTAATACTAGCATACAATGCACTAGATAGTTTAGCTCTTTTTCTGTATTTCATCACATCTRTATTTTCAAAAGTATTCTTGCGAAGTTCTATATTTAAATGTATGCACAGTTCTAATCATTAAGACTTTGCTTTTTCCACATATAAGAAAAGTTAATGAGTTTTGGAGTTCCATGTCTTGGGAAATCTGTAAARATTTTCTTCCTAGGGCTTTGTTAAACTTTAAAAGAAGAGTAGCTTAAYTATGAGAGAACACTCCTGGACAAAGCTCAAAATCACATTCAAGACGGCTGTATATAACATTACTTTTAAAAAAATGTAATATTTAAAAAAAAGGAAATAAAACACAACAAAAAATTCGACCCCCCCCCCCCCAAAAGCCCATAACCCCTAAGAGAAGGAGAAAGAGCTTTAATATTCTAGTTGAAGTTTTGCTCCAGCTGTTATCTGTATGTACCTATTTATCAAGCAACAGAAAAGAACGATGGCTATATTTATGAATTCTGTAYGTAAGGAAACAAAAACAAGTTTATCTCCTCTTGTATCTCTATGCCATGCAGTGTCACCTGATACCGGTGGTTGTCACAGTTTGGAGTTAAAAGTTTTCTTATAGGAACAGTTCAGCAGTTCAATTCTTCCAAAGCCTTCTCCTCCTATGAATTCCAAACTCCTGGTTTCTGTAATTCCCTTGTGTGCCCAACATACCAGTCCCAGAGCTGCTTGCAAGATGCAGAAATGTGGAATATCAAGATCAGCGGTTCACAGGCCATTTCCTCCATGGACAAATTATCTGAGCCGTTTCCAAGGATGGTGCTTTCATCTGTTTCCCGATTGCAGTTTACAAGTCACAGGCTTCTCCCGGCAGATACTGTCTACTGGGGACAAGCCACAGTGAAGAGACTGGCATATCCCCCTTCCCTTTCTTCAGTGATGATTAAAGGCCTAAGAAAAAGAAGCAAAATGTTTTCTTATTAGTCCAAGCTGATATTTAACTGATTTAGCTTTCATATAAAACTCTACAGCATTTTTTTCCAATTTATAAGCACACCAGGAAAAAAAATATATATACAAAGAAAAAAAAAATCCACAATAAGAGTTTATGAAAGTGATGTAAAGAAAGTGAATCAAGGCTGATCGCTCAGCCACTGAACCAACCCTGAAACCATGAAATAGTTTAGCCTTTTTCTGATAATGCTGTGTTCTTTGAGGCTTCAACCAGCCTCAAAAAACATACAGAGGTTTTGTATTGGATTCTCAACTACATTGCTCAAGCGAGTTGCTCCTTCTTCCCACCAAAATCAAGGCAAAGTGGTTTACTAAAGGAACCAAACTAGTGATGTATTTTACTCCAGAAGAAAGAGTATTAGTAGATTAGAGTGGAATTCACCAAATATTTAACTACTCGAGAGAATTGCTATATTTAGTTAGAGCTTTTCTATTTTTCCTTTCTTCTCTAAAGATAAGTGATGGTGCTGATGAAGAATCTGAAAATTCTGTTAAGGAATTCCGTCCTGGTAAACTCAAGCTCAGTTTTGAGGAGATGGAAAGACAGAGGAGAGAAGAGGAAAAGAGGAAAACAGAAGAAGAAGCAAGACGGCGCATAGAAGAGGAGAAAAGGGCGTTTGCTGAAGCAAGGAGGAATATGGTACAGTATTTAGTTTAGGATTTTACTTGAGTCTCCATAGTGAAACAGACAAAAAAAGCTCCAGGAAAAGATGCAGTTGAGAAAGTTTATTAATTCTTCCATTAATTAACCTTACTAACAGTTATTGGGGATTGAATCAAGCTAGTATACCAAAATATACCACAGAATTCCCATTCTCACAGCAACACTAGAAAGGGTATTAAATAAATAGTTTCCATCTAAGCTTTCTGCTGGACAAAAAAAAAAAAAAAACCCGAAAACAAAATCTTTTCCCAAGGAGGCTTCTTTACCTCCTTGGCAAAGAAGGTCAAAGAAGGTAAAACTATTTTGTTCAGTTGCTTAACTTTAGCTCACTTTTTACTTCTCCAGATTAATTACCCTACTTTGAAGTGTGCCCACCAATACCAGCTGAAGCTAAAGCAATGCTATAGTGGAAACRTTCTCCTTGAAAGTAGAAATTCTGTAGTCATCTGTGGCCTATTAGCAAGTAAAATACTGAGAAAGCTGAACTCACCTAATTGATTATTACGTTTCATTGCTGGCTCAGATAAACAAAAAGGCAGTAGCTTGCTTTGAATKTGCAGTTAAGACAATTCTTGATAAGGTACTTTAGTCTGCAAATGACTTRAGGAATAATCCTAAACATATTCAGATCTCTAATTTTTATTTTCTTCAACTTTTTATTTTATTTTTCCTATTGCATTTTTCAGGCTTTATTCCAACAGCTTCAAGTTTTAGCAGACTTTTGGGAACTAGTTAGATTACTATTTGTGGATGTTGGAAAACTCAGTATTAGACTGGACAAACACCAGTTAAAACTAAGTATCATTAGTTTCAAGATGGAGTGCAAGACATCCCAMCCAGAGCTGCAGCACAACCCACCCACCTCCTGGTCTCTTTCTGCACTCCTCCCTGTGGTTTCATTTAGAAAGACCAACAGCAGATCTAATAGCTTTATTTTCTTCAGAACCGATAACAATACCTGGGAGTAGATTAACATGAAAGATTTACACTGCCAACAGTGCTTCCTCGGGCCGAAATTAGGCCAAAGACAAAGCTTCTACTCATGAGGTCTACTCAAACTACTGGGCAAATTTATATTCAATATTGTACAGTAAGGGATGGTCTATGACCTGTCCGCACCTCCAAAAAGAAGGGGAAAGAGAGCAGAAGCTTAAACCTCTAGAAAAAAATCAATGAATTTCATTCTCAACATCTGTCATGACAGTCTTTACGACAAGTTAAGCCTGTACGTTCTGTCTTCTGCTTTGTTCTGCCTTCCTGCAAATCCCTTCTCCCTTATCTAATGTGAGCCTAAGCATCCAAGCAAGAAAACTCTYCCTGTTTAAATGGGGTTTAATCCACTAGATGCAGTGCAGAGTCTGCAACTGTACTATTCACAACAGACAGTGAAGATGTTTAGTAACGCAAAAAGCTACTTGAGATGCACACTGGYAGCATTTTCATTTGTGCTGATTATCATCCTATGAACCCTGCACTYTATTTCATGTACTAGCCACAGCAAGCCCAGGCTGCCCCTCCTCTTGCCACTCACCAGCTCTGCCCCTTGTAACAGATGTGCACAGATGTGCTGCTGAGCACCTGACACCCCTTCCAGGACCAGCACATCGCAAATATAAGACACTGTATTCGTCTCATTTAAGCATTCAAATGTCTAACTACATTAGGAGCTTATGCATATCGTACATAGAATTTTTAACTACATACACAGAATTGACAATATGACTACTAGAAACACAAAAAAGACTTTCACATTTTTTGAAATAATCTCCCTACTTCATGCCTTCTTCCGCAACACACAATTCCACCCAACTCCATTACTTCCAGAACAGAGTATTCATCTAAACAGCAGTCTCTTTTTGTTAAAGATACTTTCCGATGAAGGTATATAAAGMAAGCTGTCTTAGCATGAATGAAAATCCATTCTCCTTTGTAGCAACCCCTATTTGCCCCYTGAAAAATTGATTCATAGTAATAAAATAAATTCCCCAAAAAACCCAAACCCACAATATTACAGAACTGCTTCCCACTGCCCTCTATTACTGGATTGCAGAAAAACAAACAGAAAATACATGTGGGTATTCTTCACAAACTATAGATACGATACTCACTGAAGGAAGCCTGGGAGTTACCGATCTCACAGTTCCACTCATTTTCCCACCTTTGCTTTTAAGCAGCAATAGGCTGACTGACTGACGCTTAAGAGCTTAGTAACAGTGATTCAAAAACTCAGGGCAGAGCGGGAAGTGCTCATCATCCACACCATAGAGTGTTTTTTTTTTTTTTTTTAGTTTACAAACAAGTGCATTAGTCACATCTGGATTCCCATTTCTCCTGTTCCGTTAGGTTCCACATCTTTCCAAAGCGATAATACATTACCAGCCAAAAAAAAAAAAAAAAAGTTTCTTCACTAGTTTAGTTATAGCTAGCCTCTGAAAACTATGCAGCTATGCATGGCCTACTTTCATTAAAGAAAATACTCATTTATTCCACTTCCTGACAATTCCAACAAATATTTTTGCATTATGCAAAGCAAATGGAGAATGGAAGGAATGGCAGGGCGGAATTCAGCTCTAAGCTTAACTACTCACGGGGAAGCATGAAGGAAGCTGTGGTGAGTAACAGGAGGAGAGAGAGGCCAAAATCCTTGAAGAACCTMTCCTTGTGGGGAGAATCCTCTCCTTGTGGGGAGAGGGGAAAAAAAAGTATGGGGCAAAGTTGGTCAGCTAGAGCAGCACAGACAAAAATGTCCCCAACAGCAGTGAAAAGTGAACGTTATGTGGGCTCCTCGCAGCAGTAAATGGGGAACTGCAACGTGAGTGCAAAGAATCATTTAAAATCCTGTGTTTTTTCTGTTCACTTATAAAGCAAGTCAAAAATTTTTATCAAATGAAAGTTTTGCACATTTAAGCCTTTTAGCACATACTTGATAAATTTAAAGTATTCCTAACAGTACTTAAGGCACATTCGACACAGGCTATTCTGAAGTACTGATTTAATAGTGTCAAAAAGCATATGATCACTCAGTTCTATATAAATGGCCTCTAATATGTGCCCTCATTGCACGTTTTCTCTAGACTCTTCTGTAGATTTGTTGAGACATCTCAGCTATCAGGGTAAGTGTGCAAAAGCGCACACCTAAGACTTCTGTATCAAGAAGTTATTTTAAAAGCCTTCTGCATAACTCTGAGATGGATTGTCATGCTGGCCAGCCATTTTTGTAACATCATCTTAGTAATGTTTCACTTGCACAATCTCAGTCTAGTAAGGYCTTGGCTCTTACAGTTTATCATCTTGAGAATTATTATAAAAGCCTTCCCTGGGCCATAGTCATTTCTTATGAAATAAACCACAAAAGCAGCAAAGTGCTGCTGTAGCCTGAGAAAGCAAGGCGGAAAGAAGGAAAACTTTGCCCCTACGTCTACAAAACAAGCTGGCTACATCACTAGCTATATTCAGCTTTTGCAAAAGTAAAGTTTCTTGCAGGCAACTGTTCCATTGTGCTTACTGGGAATACTAACTTATCAGAGCTAATAAAGAGGAACAGGACACAGCTTACCTAGAAAAGATGACACGTTTGGATTGCAGTGTTAGGAGCAAAGACATGTTCTTACGCAAGCATTTTATCTAATGAGAGTCTGAAGTAAACAGGAGTGAATTGCTTCAGCTCCCAAAGCTGTGCTCAGGACCTCTCCCTTGGTTTACAGCAGTGATTTCATCACTAACTCCATCGGGGGGCATCATTAACTATCTACATTTCCAGCAGGTGCTGGATGACGAATCACCAGAAATGTTTAAAACAGTTTCTCAAGAATCTCTCATCCCTGGTAAACTGGAAATTAATTTTGAGGAGTTGCTGAGACAAAAAATGGAGGAAGAGAAGAGACGCACGGAAGAAGAGCGCAGGCAAAAGTTGGAAATGGAAAAGCAAGAATTTCAGCAGCTGAGACAGGAAATGGGAGAGGTCTGTATAACAGAAATGTTAAGTGTTCTCTGAAGAGAAATGTAATGGTTCAAAGTTTATGAYTGTAATGGAGAATTTCTTGTAGAGGAATTTTTATCAAAACTTTCATTTACTTGAAAAGAATGCAAAATAGAAAAGACAATATATCAAGTATAAGATTCTTAATCACTCCACTAGGAAAGTATGTTGTACTCCTTACCAACCTTTAAGTGAAAGCATAAAAATTCAGATTTGTAATTTTACCGTTTCTTTTCTTTTAAACTGTGAATTCTGCTTATTCTACTGTATTACTAAAATGGTTATTCACAGTTTTAGAGAATACAAATAGCTASTTCATCCCAAATCAGGAGCAATATTCTCAAATTTATTTTTTTTTAAGAGAAATGTAGTGTCAAGTAATTATAAAGCATTACAGTGTCCCAAGTTTCRGCCAGTCACCATATTGAGGGTATGGAGACTGTCACAGTGGATTTTAAGAATCCCACACAATTTGCTCTGCATACCAAACGGCTAGAACAACTTCGGCATTCTATGATTCTATGAACATCACATTCACAAACTTCATACTTCAAATGTTTCTTTTTGCGAGTGTCAASTCTAAAAATATTATTCACTTTTGAATGTTAATAGCAAACACTATTGTTTTTCTTTTTAGAGAGGCTAGTGTGAGTAATAAGGGCTCCAGCTTGTCAACTTTTCAAGTAGATTTTGCATTACACCCAGGGAAGAAGGGAAAGCCAGGGACACCCTACTAACTGTATATTTCATCTGCCAGGCCAAGGTAATAAACGGCAAGAGGGAGGGGAGTTAAGTATCAACAGCTACAGCATCAGACCCCGTTCAGCTACAGGATCTGGAACTGTCATTTCAATTTCCCAACCATAAAATCCTGAAATCTCTTTTGTCTCTTATTGCATCAAAAACAAAACGAAGCCCCACAGCAGTAATTACAAGGTTTGCGTTCAATGGAGCAGCTATTTGTATAGTGTGTTGCTAAGTATCTGATTTTCCAAGGCTGAAACCCTGAGTAAAGGCTTCATTAAAGCAACATCAGAGAAGTGCTTTTACTGAAGACAAGGGATTTTGAAGTCTGGGTCTAGTTTAGATATAAGGAATTTTAAAGATTTAGGGTAGAAAGGTGCAGGGGGAAAGAGCAGAGGGGAAAGATCTTTGTTGAGAGATTCAGAATATCTCCAAGCTAAGAATTAAGTGTATGAAGCTACACGTACTTGGGGTAGTAAAAACACATCATATAAACAACCTAGACATTTTTGATCTTCACATTTTGTAATTCCTCTACAGTTAGAAGAAGAGTCTGAAACTTTTGAACTAAGCAAAGAATATGAAGAATTAATGAAGTTAAAAAGAAGTGGCTCCATTCAGGCAAAAAACTTAAAAAGCAAGTTCGAAAAAATAGGACAATTGTCTCAAGAAGAAATACAGAAAAAGATTGAAGAAGAGCGAGCCAAGAGAAGAGCAATGGATGAAGAAATAAGAGAAAGGGAAGCAGAGAAATTCCAAGAGGTAAGCTCTGTTCTGGGTACATGAGGATGACACTCACAGAGGCTTCTGATCACAAAGACCTTCCTCYTGCATTAGAGTTGCAAGAGGAAACTTAGTTGGGTGACTGATGACCCAGGGTGAGTGATGCTGCTGCTTTAACAGCCTGCACTGTCTCCAGAATGATTCTCCCCTTACTTTCCTGTTCCCTCCTTCTTGAACGCCTAAGAAAAAAATCTCACTTCAGCATTTCAGCATTCCTGCTGAATGGGACAGGAGCATCATTTCATCACCAGTCACCTGCTCAGGCATCTTTTCTGCTTCAAGTTCTCCATTCAGCTGCTTAACAACTCAATGCTGCCGCTCCACCATACTGAAGCAGTCATGTTACAAAGTTCATAAACTGCTTGTCCTTCTGAGCTCACTCACGCTCCAYTGTGTGAAATAAAAAGTCAAACAGCACTAGAGCTTACAGACCAAGCCCTTGCCCTTTTGAAGGTCAGGGAGAGGATCTTTCACTTGCTTCCYCAGGGCACAACAGGGAAGCAGGGCTGCTACCCACCCTGCTGATCGSAGTCCTTTTCTATCTTCTCAGAGGGGGGAAAGTGAGAGACGGAGCTTTCCCTTTAAACAGTGAGACAGCATCATCCTCCAACCTAAAACACAATTCTTGAATAAAGGCTCATGTGTCCACATGCAGAAAAGGAGACACTAAAGAGCGGTAACACTCACCCAAGCCTCACTCAGAGCATATCCACAGAACGCCACCACTTCTGCCAGCTGCAAGCCTATGCTTTGCTTTCATCTCCYGATTTAGTGACCGGCACACTAACTGTGCTTCTATAAAGGCAACCCGCATCTCAGTAGTAACAGACACCAAGAAAAAGCAGGTAGGGAAGTAGAACTCTTCTTGGCACAGGAAAACAGAGCACCACAGCACCTGATCCTGCCATGCTCCACTGGACAAGGACACTAACTCCTGCMCACTTTGTAGGACTAGCATTAGAGRGAAGAAAAAGGAAAAGCAGGCAAACCTAGCAAAATTAGCATCCTTTTTCAAAACAATACAACACACTGCATGCATGCAGGTCAATTCATTACTCAAGTCCTTTTACAGCAGTCCTGCAAAAAGTGACAAGTTTTTTAAAACTTCAATGTTGTTCCCTTAGTTTTTAAWTTTTTAATTTAATTTTAATTAAATTTTAATTTAATTTTAATTTCACCATAATCTGTTCTGTATTTAAAGTTCCAATTGAATCCAAAAATCAAATGCTACTTCTATGCTGGTATGACTGCTAACGACTGATATGCTGCAATCCAGAGCAGGCCATTCTAGWAACACGTCTGAATTTGCAGTTCAGGACTCCTTTTATGGAATTCCAGCATTTCTAGCACCCAGCTTGCAGAATCAGTCATGAAACTAAGTGTTTTAAAATAATCCTAAATTAAGAGACTAAGGTTCTTCTTTCCTTGATATGTCTTGGCATCTCACAACTCGAGAGAGGTTGTTAGGAGACTTGTTTTTCAATAAACCTGACGTAAAACCAACCTCTGAAAATCAAGACTCGATATAACTTAGCTCCATTGAACAAGAACTACTTTTCAACTGAACTAGTTTGTGAATTCGTATCAGTTTAACAATAATAAATAATCTTTCTTCTTTGCAAGGASGATGAGGTAGATGTGAGACCAGCCAAGAAATCCGAGGCTCCGTTTACTCATAAAGTAAACATGAAGGCCCGTTTCGAGCAAATGGCAAGAGCCAGAGAAGAGGAAGAACAGAGAAGAATTGAAGAGCAAAAATTACTACGCATGCAGTTTGAACAAAAAGAGATTGATGCTGCACTGCAGAAGGTAGGGATTGCAGGGAACCTTCCATTCACAGCTGGGTGTCTCTTAACTTAGTGAGATACATGTTTAAATCACTTAGCTGAACACCGATGACAAYGATGCCAGAGGTGTGAAAGTCTGAAAAACATACATACATATATATGTGTCTCCATGACCATTTGTCCCTAGATTCTGGCCTCATTAAAATCCTATTTTCCAAGCAATTTACTGCCTGTTCCATTTCTAGATTCATCATTAGCCAGTGAGCTTAGGCACAGCACCTGCCCTCTCCAACACAAGAGTTTTTCTGCAACCAGATACATGTTACTGTTCTTTCTGTTGCTACTTTCACTCTAAATATTTTACACTGAATTATTTTAACAGAAAARGGAGGAGGAAGAGGAGGAGGAAGGAAGCATTATTAATGGTTCTACTTGCGAAGATGAGGAGGATCAAGCTCGATCTGGAGCTCCCTGGTTCAAGAGGCCACTAAAAAACACCTCAGTGGTTGACGGGGAACCCGTGAGATTCACTGTTAAAGTTACTGGSGAGCCCAAACCTCAAGTCACCTGGTGGTTTGAGGGGGAAATGCTGCAGGACTCTGAGGACTATCAGTACATCGAAAGAGGAGAAACCTATTGCCTTTATCTGCCAGAAACCTTCCCAGAAGATGAAGGGGAATATATGTGTAAAGCAGTCAACAACAGAGGCACGTCTGCTAGCACCTGTATTCTCACCATCGAAAGTAAGAGCTAATATTTCACTTTGCTTAACAATTCTCAAGTACTCTTCTTGCATCTTTCCTTTGAATATAATTCGTTAATCTTTTTCTTAACCCTTTTTATTTTCTAGCTGATGACTACTAATGCTCTGCTTTAGCTGGAACCTTTCTTCTTCTCAAATCTTTCTTATTGCATCATCTCTCTTTCTCTGACGGGGCCAACTAAAGGAAAAGCAGGGAAAGGCACTGATTTGCCATTTCCTGCACCAGAGACATCTGCCAACTGTGCAAGTGTCTAGGTTCCTTGCTCATAGGAAATTTAGTATTAAAGGCTAAAAAGAAGGAATCAATAAAGTAAAAATCAAGAAAGAAAAAAGAACCTCTGAATTACCACAGTGCTCCCACACTTGAAGACCAACTATTGTGTAATAGTGTAAATCTAAATAAACAATCAGGAAACCTGTGTAGTAGTATAAAACTGCTGGTATATTCTGCATGAACACTAAATATTTGAGCTAGAAGCTTTGAACTGAAAAGGAAATACTTATTGGTGGAATTAAAAAACAACCCAGTGTATTATTTCTAAACAATAAAAGATTATGTAACTGCTTACGTTTGCTGTTTTGCTTCAAAGAGTACTAGTTTAATGCAGACTTGCACTTAAATCACTATGCTGTGATTGACCTATGCAGTTGCTAATCCAAAAGTAAACACAGTCTCTGTAAGGTTTGCACTAATCTTCAGAGAGTATTAAAATTTGCTTATTAAAAAGTCAAATTTCGACTACTGAAACATATATCAACAGCAGGCTACACCATATAGGCCAATCATAGCAAATTTAATAGTAAGTTTTAAAATAAAACTACTATAAAAATGCSTAGTGTTTCAACCTTCCTCTCTCTCGTTGCAATATATTTACTGCTGCATCTCCAAACACTGTCTTGCCCAGGACTGGCCTACTATTTTTCTGTACGTGCTAGCACCATTGTGTCTCATATCTAAATGGTTCAGCTTAGGCTTCCGTCAGAGTTTCTACTAAAGACCATCAATCTTTTAAACTGAAGAACAGATGTAGAGCATTAATATAAGACAGGGGACACTGCAGCAAATAGTGTCACTCCAAAAAATTTAGAGCTTTCTACTATGCCTCAGTCTGCTGCTGACTGCTCTTTGTACAAAGTTACTTGATAATTTTTTTCTTTTGCCTCAATAAGTAGTTACAGATTCTGAAACATCCTGAAAAAACTCACTGATAAGCTGTGTGCTATTTTGAGTGAATATTTTAATAGCAGTATTAAGAATATGTTTAACTTCATGTGGGTGATGTTCATCTCATAAAACATTAATTGCTGCTATATTCAGTTTTTCTGAAGCTGCAATTTCAAGCTAGTGAAGGCAGGGGTAGGAGCATAAAAGAGACAAAAGCATTGCTATTATTATCCATTGGTTTACATTTATTGAGAAAAACCATACAAAAAACATTATACAGTTAACGTGTACCCATATTACATACAAGATCAATGCAAGCTCAAAACCACATTTTTGTAAAGCATTCAATTTACCTCAAGTCCAAGCTGCATCTCCCTAAGACACTGTTCCCATCACAGTTGCCTTTTAAAGCCAATCTTCTTTTTACACACGGGTAGTTTCTGCAGAGAACACTTTTCTCAGGACGAAAATGCATTTCACATGCACGCAAGAGAAATATTTGTGCAGACATAAGAGTTTCATAAGCTGTTACTAGGGAAGAGGGAATCCTGTCAACTGCATCCTTCCTGAAAGGCCCAGACTCCCCTTCCTCCCACTATGCCCAGAAAAAAAAAGGCAAAATAAAAAGCTTTCAGCATGCATGCAATGAAAAACTTAAAAGCTACTTTGAAGGGAATAAACAGTTTCTATCATCCAGTAACACAACACTAGTAAAAGGATGAGATATTTGAAGAAAGACTGTGCAGTGAATAATGATCCTGTCTGCCTGAACAACTTAAAGACATGGCATATGATCATGCTAGATAAAAGATTAGCCACCTGGTATTTGATTTCACGCCCTGTCTTAAAGTATAAGATGCAGAAACTGGTATGAAAAATGCTTTTCCTACTTTGACCATTATGCTTCCTTTTTAAAGTTTTGGTACTGTTGGCATTCTACTATTTGTGGGGGTCTAGAGAAGAAAAGGCAGGAAAAGTTAAAAGACCCCTTTGGGCAAGATCATTACACTTCCAAGAAAGTCCAGTTTATCTTACTGAATCAGAAGAACCCCAGTCACATTCTCTGTCCTCCCAAGAACTGAGAGTTTAGGCACAGAATGGAAAAAATAAGGACTCTGCTCGGCACAACCGGGCCTGCCTGGAGCCCCGCAGGGAGCAAGCTGGGAGTGAGGCTACCTCGAACGCGACGCTCTAGGGCCAGTTCATCTCCCCTTCTACACACTCACGGGATTCTAGTAAACTGCCTTTTTCTTCTCTACTTCCTCCCACCGGCTAAACTTACAATTAAAAGGCTGTTAAGATATTTTAGGAACAACAGTTGTAGAAAAAGCAGCATGGAAAAAAAAAGAAAAAGTGAACACATGACTCACCCCAACACTAATTCACGGTATCAAAATCCAAATGGTACACGCCTAACTTGTCAAAAAATGAATCTGAATGACATATTAAGCTACAAATCATCAAGTATGAAGTGGCTTGAGAAACTGAAGTACTTCAAAAAGTCAATATAGCTAGCTTGACTGTTTAGAAGCATATAACTTAGAATAGATGGTTTATATTATTAAATCACAGTTAAAGAAACTTAACAGATTATGGAACATTTATGGTCAAACAAATAGTACTTTAAAGAATGAAAAGTGATCAAAACAAAAATTATACCCTACACCAGTACGTATGGGATACATTTCAAATCTGTCACGTTTTTGCCAATTTTACCTTCCACATGGAGCCCTTCTATGGTCCATGCTCATCGGCTCACCAATGGCAAACACTCAAGGGATTCCTCTTACTGGCAGTAACTATCTCAGGACCTGATTCTATGAGCTATGATTTGGTGCTTGCAGCATCTTCAGCACTGTGTGTGAAAATGAAGGCAGGATTTTTGAATATTTTTCTTTCATGGACATAAAAAGCAGGACTTTTTTGAAAGAGGAGCAGCATATTTTAGAAACAGAATAAGCAACAGAAAGACTGAATAGATGCTGCTTTACTTTAAACTAAAAAGAACTGTACCAGACCATCTATAAGACATACAAACACTTTTAAACTGGCAAAATATACAGCAATTCAGTTAAAAATATCAAGAAACAGGAAACGCTAACTGCTATATAGATATTAAAATATTATCTGCTGTACTGTTAACATTTAATTGGTGCACATGCTTTTTCAAATAAGTCATACTCATCTGCAAAGTTCTAGAATCTATTTTCCTACAGTGTCAAGTATGAATAAGCAAACAAAATTATCTAAAGATTCCACTAACACACTATAACTGTAAGACAAGTCATCAAGTTCAGTGATAACAAGTTATGTTCTTTATAACTATGCCTTACTCGTTTAGAGGGAATAGCACCCTACAATATAGAAAAACATTTCTGAAGGCTGTTGACGTTTCTAACCAAAGTAATTCCTACATATTTTTAACTTTTTGATTCTTTAATTGCAACAAGTAGCTATTTGTCAAAAAGTAACAAAAATTACTTATTTTGATTAAGTTTAATTACTGCAATCTAATCAACTTTCCTAAAAAAAGATACATATTTACCTAGAAATATAAACACTTGCTTGAAAACTTAACGACTTCCAACTGAAATGGAACCGTGAGTAACAATGCATTTGGGGAAAGCAGCTGATTGCTTTTCAATACACAACCACAAAGATCTCACAGGGACAACATTAATGTACTGAAATATATTAATTTATATACTTCCTTAGGTTGTGCTTACCTGTTGCTTTTTTGCAGCAGAACCTAAGGTGGAAGGTCTGGGAAGGCACTGTGAAGTATAAATAATTGCACTGTTTGCAATTAATAAGATTTTATACTTTAAATGAATCAAAATCAACAGCCTCCATTTTGTGAATGATAAAGAATCCAATGAATTTAAATTCTGCTCAGTTTAGTACATAATATATGCACCATTCTACAAGATTATCTACAGAATACCATGCAAAAATATCTGAACTATTAAACTTCATACCCTATACTAAAGATAGCAAATACCATCCTAGCCTTGTTTAAAACTACCAGAACAATTCCTAATTTTCAAGGGATAAAAATAATTCTTTCTTTCTACATCTACAGCACAATGCATACATTGCTAAATACCTGCATAAAACTACTTTCAATTTCAACCTTAACTTTTTGTTCTCTGTGTAGCCACACTAAAAAAAAAGTTCATTCTCAAAGCAACAAAATGATATTCCAAAAGATAAAGCAAGTAACAGTTACAAAGTTATTTTGCAAAAACAGGCCTACAGCACTACGTATCTGCAAACTAACTGAAGACAAACAGCTCCTGTCTGACAAGTGGTTCCAAGAGACTTCAATGTAACCATAACATACTTAAACAAACTGAATATTATAGCTCTGTCTCAGGTGCACTAATGAACAAGAGACTATTACTCAGACAAACAGAAACATGATTTTCTTTAGCTATTGCTAAACGTTTCAAGAATACTTACCCACAAAGCTCGCATTGTGTGTGTAAATATATATATATGTATAAATGGYACACCTATGTTTCTGAATTAAGAAGCAATTACGATTTCCTAAGATAATCAGCACTGTATTCCAACATAATATTCACACAAGTATGGCATTTTCATTATGTGGAACATTGACAAAAAGATACTGTTGCAGTTCATCAATTTGTCATTCTGATGTACTTACAGTGCAATGCTCCTTGAAGGAACAATCAAGGATGATACACAGCACAGTCCTCCTCACCCCTATAGAGCTAGTTCTATACTGGCTGGATCAAACCTGCACTTCAACAGACAATGGCAAGACAGACTGTATTGCATGTAGTCTAATATATGCAAAGAGCCAATAAATATGCAAAGAGCAAACATAGGATTTCAAGAGAATCAGATTTTTGAGCATGAGCATTAGCGTAATAAGAAGGTTCAGGTATATTTAAAAAAGTCATTTGATTCAAAGACTGGTCTTGAGTATTTACGAAACCAAAGTTATCTGCTCTGCAAGAAGTTCTCAACCGCTCCCCAACACTCAAACAAAACAGCGTTTCAAGAACAGATGCAATTTTTTTTTTTAACTGCTATGCATACCACATTGACCCTTCTGCACTGACCTGTGAAGTCAACTACTTTAAACTGAAGGCTTAAGCACAAACACTTAAAATAAGATTTATAACTAGTCTGAAAAAATCCTTCAAAATAGTTATGCAGGAACAGTTTTGAAGTCAAATATTCAATTAAGAGCAAAAATAAACTGTTATAGCAGCTGTACAAGTCTCAAATAGTGGTTATGTATAAAAGGAAATTTCACTGTTAATGCAATGGAAGTATGCCAAAAGATCACCTTCTTAAACACATGCAGCTTTTAATCAAATAGAAAGAAAATTAAGGTATCAAGATTACTGGTGCTAGGCAGCAAAAATACAATGAATGAAAGAGAACCTCCAGCTACAGCTATTCTGCAAGAGGGGAAAAACAGACTAACAACATGTTTTTAAACCCAACAAGATTTCATGGAGGGGGAGGGAAAAACAAAACCAAAGAACCTCATTTGTGTACAGGTATCTTCATTCAGCATTGCAAATCAATCCTATACGTCTTTACGTACCCACATATCCAACTTACCGACACAGGAGGTTTCATATTATTTATTGTAAAGCACAAAACAGGCATTTTAAAAGTGATAAAGTATACATTGAAAAAGTACATTTATATCACAAAGCATTGACCACATAATAATTGCAAATACATTTGCTGGAATGTGTACATCTACACTAATACTAAAAACAAACCATTTTTCATTTCTACACAGAAATATTACCTCCTATCAGTAGTGATAGATATTTTGTACATTTTCAAAAACACTATTTTTTTTAACCAAACAAAATTAAGATCTTCATCAAGGCGTTCTGCATCCATACATTTAACAAAGGTTTTTTCCCCCACACAATGAAGCAAATACTGTATTGTCCACTTCTTATTATTGGCCCTGTGCAGAAGAGATACATAAGAGATACACAAAAAGTTAAAGAAAATCCTTTAAACCGAGCTAACTCAGGAGTGAAGCCTTTAAGAAAGAAAAATTGGTTAATGTAAATGGTGGTGGCTTCTTGCATGGTTTTCAAAACCCTGGGAGGAGAAAGTTTTTCTTTTTTAAACAAACAAAAAAAAAAAATCAAAATCACCAAACGTATGGACAGAACTCAAGTTACCAAGTAAAGCAAAGTCATTTATTATTCTGATCGCTAGTTTACCAAGGAGGGCTGGGGGAGGGGGGGAAAGAAAAAAAAAATAGGGATGCATACTCCAAAGGTAACAAAGCAGGAGACATGCAAAAAATATCTGCAGTCACTGAAACAGAAGGCAGCCAAGAAGCACTTAATGGCTTAAGTGTGTACCTGTGGCGCGGGGGGGTGCTGCGGCATTCCCTGCGGGCTCGTCTGCGCGTAGTAGGCTGCCTGCTGCCGGTAGTACTCGGCCCACGCGGCGCTGTAGTCGGGCTGGCCCCCCGGCGGCGCCCCGGTGGGCGCGGGAACCGCTTGACCTGCGGGGAAGGGGAGTTCAACCATACCGCTTTCTTGCTGCGGCCACCACGGGAAAACTTGCATAGCCCCACAGCCRGCAGAACGTTACCTTGCTCTTCGCAACACCCCTCCTAAGATTTTGAATCGTCTTTTTTTTTTTTTTTGGTCTAAGCACTCACCCTATTTTAATTGCCATGGGATTGCCAGGGATTGCCACGTAAGGAGAACCTGAAGGTGTACAGGAAGGGCAGGTGTTTCCACCTTCTTGAATCATGTCCCATAACAAAGGTCATTGAGCAGGCTGCACTAACCGACTTGGAACAAACAGTTAGATTAAAATACAGATCACCAAGGGAGATCACTTTTGCCCACCTGCCTACACTGACTTGAACTTTGTTGTACAGCTCTCATTAAAATAATTACCACATGCTAGTTTATCAACTTACAATTATGACATTTGACAATGCAAATCCTGGATTAATGCAGATTAGGTTTATCTTTGTTACCTATTTTTATTTTACCATAGAAGACAGACCTGCAACAACTTCTTCCAAACCTTGCTCGAGTTCCAAGGCCTCTAGGACTAACACTACACATACATGCAACTCTAGACTTAAAATCAACAATCTTTTCAATACAATCAAGTTGCAACATAAAAACTTGATAAAGATGCAGGTCTCTAACATATCCAAAAAAAAGAACGTAGTTAACTCAGCTGTGCTATTTGCCCATGGAAGGCTCCACTCAGACACCTTTGCTTCTTTTAATTCAGAAACCTCCTAGRCAATAAAGTGTTGCCAACACCTCCCTGGTAAATTCTTATGTCAACGGTGCTTTGCCAGCTAACACTGCAAAGGGTCCCCAGGACTATTAACAGTCCCATATCTGCACTCAAGACTTGCATACACRGAGACAGAAGGGTTTAAAACCAAGCAACAGTTGCTTAAAGATAAGCAGCTATTTAAACTTCCAAAACATAAAACTGTGATATTGAGATGCTGCCGTTAAAGCTTGGCTTCTGCATCTGAGCAGAACTGGGGTATCAGTCTTCAGTCCCAAGTGAAGCCACCTCATCTCAGAAAGCTGAGTAGTTGTCAACACTTACTCAGAACCAAGCCCACTGAGGAATCTCACAGGAATATCAATATCTGGACATTCTACTAAGCTGTTGAAGATATCAGGTGGAAAAATCATACTGCAATGACCTTCTACACAGAAGATTTAGCTATTCACATTCTTACATGCATTTTCCCAATCCTCTCTAAGATACTGCATAAGCAAAGGGTCTGAACATTCGGCCAAGTATTATCCTGAACACATCCAGCACATAATCTTCCATTTTCCAACCACAGATGCAATTTATAGTTAGGTTTGCCATTCATTTACTCTGTACATACCATTTGATTAAAATCAAATAAAAACTTTCTCCATTGCTCTGTGGGTTACACAGTAAAGTATCTGTCATCATAGAAAAAAATAGTTCAGATTTCCTCAAATCTTAAGAGCTGAAGCCACACATTGCCCAATTCATGAACATGGCAGCATTTACACTTCCAGTCAATAATTTTAATCAAAATAGTCTTTAATGGCATCATAAACTATCCTAGGATAATTTATAATTTATCTCAGGATTTACAAATGTGTATAGCTAGTATAAGTTACGGTAAAATCAGGACATTTTCTGTCCATTACAACACGACATTTAAGAGCTAAATTCAAGGTAGAGCTGAAATCTGAGTAATAGCTCAAACGTAGAAAATTGGGTGGCCACTGAATTCCTTTCTCAAAGGTATCAGGAAAAACTTAAAATATTTAATTGCGCTGTGCCCCTACCAAGCACTACTAGCAATTCTGATCCTGCGTGTGCAGCTCAGCAGCTTGCACAAAACCACCTCTCACTGCTCAGAGCTGCACTGAGAGAGCGTGTGCTCCTCTGCAGCAGGGTTCACCRGCCAGGCCTTATGGAACAGGAGTGATAAATTACATATATGGGTATATGAGAAACTCAGAAYGCTTCCCAAGAAAGAAAATGCCTCATGATTCTACAAGCTGCTGCATTTCTCGCTCATGGGTGGTGAATTCAGCAAGTAGAAAGCTTTTCCTTTCTCGTTGCCTTTTACAGCTGAGGAATCATTAAGGAACTCTTTCACTATTTCATTATGGAAGCATTGAATTAACGCTTCCATCTCTTGTGCGTTTAGAAAGATTGATAAATATACCAACTCCGATAATGACACGTAGATCRTTTACTCAAATCTGCCTGTATTTAGTGGAAACTGTTAACCTTGGGAGCTCTGTAGGCTCCAATTTTGCAAATCTATTTCAATTCTTTTAAGGGGAAAGAAAAAGATATGTCTTCAATTAATGATAACAGTATCTACATCATATCTTCAAAAGTTAAATTGAAAGCAGTGCTCCTATTACATGGGAACACTGAAGGGAGATTTAAAGYATTTTCTATGAATTTATGAAACATCACGAACAGAGTTTTGGTCAGCTCTGAGAGTCATGAACAGGAAGGTTAACTATGTGAAAGTTAATTACTTCAGTCTAAATTTTTAGACTTATTTTAACTTATTTGGGATTCAGGCAATACTCCTAGAATTAAAAAAAAAATAAAAACATTGAAAAGGAGGCACACTGCAAAGCAGCATTTTAACATTTTAGAATCAAGAGAAATGCATGCATTTTTACCTACRGTTGTAGGTTTTTCAATGGTTTTGACGACCTATTTAGTAGTGCTTTAGCATTCTGGGGTCATTTGCACCTAACACAAAATTCTAATTGGAAAATCATCTCAAGTGCCAATTGCAGTATCACAGCAACTTGCTCAACMTGGTTCTGACCTTGCCATATGGATTACCAGGGCTGGTTTTCTTCAGCAGCAAAAATAAAACTACTTGGGCTTTGGAAGTTGAGGGAGTTCAGCTCTTTGAAAGAGCATGGATTATTATACAAACAGGTGAGAAAAGTCTCCATTACTGTTGAAGAATGTCCTGCAATTCCTACCTTTCTMTTTTGCAATGAGAGGAACATTGCAGCATTACGAAAAAACATGTAAGCAGTGCAAATGACATGTGACAGACTGAAAAGCGACAATTTGCTTGGAGTTCCCATTTGTCACCTCTCCCACTTCTTAATGCCGCTGTTAAGGGACAYGAAAAAAGCACCATCTAGAGGTGATTTAAAACTAAATGATGATTTAAAATTAAATCTTTGCATTTCAAGGTTACTTCATCTGCTTGAAGTGCATCTTGAGATGAAAGATACTCTTTCTATTAATTTTTAACATTCTGAAGCAGCAGACAAGTTCTCATGCTTCACATATTCAAGTCATAAAGGCCCAAACATCACAAGATCTCCTTTCACAGAAAGGACCCAATTTAAATTAGAAGACCTAAGAGCAGAACTGCCTTTCTGTTTTCACTGATTTGCTCTCTGGGGTTTTATCTAGCTTACAATTTAARAGCAATTCCTTACATCCCTCATTGTCTGTCTCTTCCTGTCTCATGTCTTTTTGGGGGCTTCATCCTCAAAACTCCATCTCAGCAACTTTCACTAGCTGGTACATAGCCTGAGAAAACACGGGCTGACATAACCAGACTTTTCCTTCCAAGAGTGACAAATCAGAGATCCCGTCAATAAACTTAATTATTCTTAAAAAGAAAAAGCCCTAGTACTTAAGAGTTCAAGAACGCAAACTGATCCATCAGAGGCATTAAATAAAAAACATCATCAACAAGGAAAAGAATAATGAAAAAGGCCAAACTAAGAGTGTTTGGGAATTCCATTCAATTTTTCATATTTGTATGTCAGAAATAATTCTTGAAATATTTTTTCCTGTTTCATTTCATCACTTCTGCTATGCTAAAATAATGAATCAAGTCAGTGTGTCCGGTTTGTAATTAACTCCACTGAATGCTCAAAAGAGGAATAAAACTTGCTATTCTGCTACTCTGCTTCTTATAGCAAGACAAATAGAAGGAGCAGGTGTAAGAAGGCAGAAAGAAAAACAAACCAGAGGCTGCTTTATACCTGGTTAGACGAATACCAGAAAAAGCTCAAGTATACAAAAATCCACTGGCCTTCAGTGTACAAAATGCAAACCACTCACATTTATGGGAGAATAATATGGTCAGAATACTGACCTGCAAGGCATTCTGATTTAAATTAAAACAGCACCTTTGGCAAAAGCATGGACACCATGTATTCCTTCCTCAGCAAGTTATAGAACAGTTAACATGCATACCAATATATTTCACTTGAAAAGTTAGTTTAATATATATACAAGCTCAAAAATAGTAGCAATATAAAAATTGAGTTGAATGCACTTTTAAACATTACAAAGAACATACAAATGAAATGTACTCTTGACACTTGAATATGATCATACAAAGTCAAAGTAACTGTTTTAAGAGCATTAGGTAACACAACTACCAAACAATGAAACAAGCTTCATAAAAAAGCAGACCAAAACYGAACTTCAAAACTTAAAAATATATTTTATATAAAGGCAATTAAATGGAAAGCTCTAAAAGGTACTGGCTGCCAGAGAACAAGATAWGGTGCTTCACACACATCAACTCAATTTTAGCTACAAGGTATTTCTCTAAAATCTCATCTCTATTCCTATGAAGTTTGGTTTTCAAACTTCAGCACTTTTAGTACTACAATTCAGAAGATGGATGGATGCAGTACTCCATTTTGTAAGAATCTGAAATGAGATATGCAAGTCTCCTCTAACAACTTCACAAGAACAGATAAATATGCACACATACCCATTTTCTTGTAGTACTCTTCCCATGCCTTGGTATAGTCAACCTGCCCCGCTGGTGCTGGATTCGGCTGATCTCCTGAATTTCATTTAATTAAAAAAAATGTTAAAGACTTCTAACCTTTGGTTTTGTAGCTAGAACAACATACAAACAGCCATCTGAATGTTTTGGTATTAAGCCCAAACAACAACATTTCAATATGACACTGAAAAAAAAAAAAAAAAAAACCCCAAAAAACCCTAAAACCCCCAACAAAACTATCTAGTACTATAAGCTACTACAAGCTACTACAAACACAAGAAACAACAAAATACTAAAACCAAGAATGCAAATGTCACCACACTAAAAGAAATMATAAAAATTTATTGTGCTTTCAGAATTTAGGAAGTGCGTACCACTTACAATAGAAAAGAGCAACCTTAAGGTTAAAGTTTAGGCCTCACCCAGACACAAAAATTAACGTAGTACAACTCAAGTAATCATTTAAAGTAATGCAACTATTTAAACAAGTAACATTTCATGACAGTATGGCTCATTCTACTTTTACCTAKACTCAGAGTAAGTAGATGTTATTAATTCAGATAATGCAATCTCAGAGAAACATCTCTTTGGAATTGCACTAAAATTAGTGTTGAAAACYATAAGCAAGGGTTTTCCAAAATAAAGAATATTAGATATATATTTATAGCTACCAACACATAATACAATAATAAAGAGGGACCTTGCCCCTGCAACAGTAARAACTCTGTTTTACCTTGTCCATTAGTTTGGGTTGTGGCTGGTCCACCAGGAGGGGCCGCGGGCGGTGGCTGTGCTTGTTGCTGATAATAGTGAGCATAATAAGCTGCCCACGCAGCTGAATTGGGATCTGTACCCGGCTTACCTGTTAAAAGAAACACGCATTCATAAAAGCASTTGGAACAGAAAAGTTGATTTTAATTAGCAGTCTAAGTGTTCTTATTTAAAAAAAAAAAGTATCTAAGCTAAGTAAGCAGTGCAACCTTTTTAGTATCTTCTTTTCCTAACTAGGAATTTTAAGAGAATACACTAAAATCTGTTTTTAGAGATAAAAATCTTTATAGAAGCTTTACAACAACAGCATCTGTTTTAAATAAAGCTGATGCACAGGAACAGATTTTCAAGCTTGTTTAAATGTTCATTTTACTAAATGGCAGTAAACATTTTGGTTTTCAAGTTTTACTTTTTGTAACCTCACACTAATATCACTGACAATCACATGCATCCCCAAGAACCTCTTTCTGAAATAGAGGAACAAGATATCTTACAAGATATTTGCCTTGCATGTCACAAACCTTAGGATAATGGTAAAAAAAAAAAAAAGTAGTATTTTAAGAACAGTATTCCTAGTTATGATTCATATGTAGCTTTTTAGTCCAACATATGATGATAGCAACACTAGTATGTGGGGAAAAAAAAGGATTATTTGGATCATCACAAACTGATGATCTGCATGGATAATGTGGATAAAAAACTCAACCAAACAAACCCTAACTGAAATATTGACAAACTGAGAAATAATCCACTGGAAAATGCATTTTGGGGGGGGGGGCGGGGGCGGGGAGAGTAAGGCACTAGCAGAGCCAATACACTTAAAAAAAAAAAAGGCCAGAACAGGTTATTACTAATTGAAACACTACCAGAAAATTTAGATGCAAGTACTTACAAAAGTACTTACAATGCATACAGTAATATCAATATATTCCTCCCCTGCCTAACTTCAGCATTATCAGTGTATGTGAGCAATTTTTAACGCTCTGGGTGGGCAGCAAACTGTCAAGGGATAACTACCAAGTCATTGATACTTCCACAAAAGTCAAGCAGTTACATACCTAGCTGAACATGTTTTGTTATTGAACACAACGTAAAGCAAGAGGAACCACATCTACTGACCTCCTCGGGATGAAAACACTAACTTCGCTCAACTCATATCAATTGCAGTAACTCTACACAGCCTCTTCTAACATTAAACTACTTTACCAACAAAAAACATTAAGTCCTGCAAGGTGACCTGCACATATCAAAGCTGCTGCTCTGTAAGTGCACACAGCAGAGATTCATTAAAAATCTCAAAAGAAATTGAGACTGCAGTTACTAGCTCCGCTTTCAAGTGACAAGATCCAAGCATGGTTCAGAAACAAAACACTTCTCAAAAGTGCACAGGCGTGCTTTTGTTTCACTGACATTTGAAAGGCATCTGTACCAAACTKACTCATTTGGTACTAGCCAAAAGACAAATCAATTTCAACCGCACAGGGAAAAATGAATTAGATTTAAAAGAGGAAGAYATATCAGAGAATCTGAAGTAAGAACAGATTATCACAATAAATATTTACCACTTTCAATATATCTTTATATGAAGTGCTGTGAAAGACAGAAAATTGCAAATGCTGGAAGTATATTCAAGCCACGGGGYAGCTAAACCCTTTCATACCTGGATCTGGTGGATTTGGTGGTTGCCAGTGTGGATAAGCATTTCCCCATCCTTGTGGAGCATATGGGGCTGGAGGACCACTATTAAACAAAAACATAAAAACAAAAATAAAAATCAATACATAGTGAAAACCCATCACACGATTATCCTAAAACAGACAAACACACAACAACAAAAGAAGTGATACTTACTGAGGTGCAGGACCAGGGGGCCCTGGATTGTAAGGAGCAGGGTTATATGGTCCCATAGGAGCACCAGGGCCTGGGGGACCAGGAGGCCCATGTGGTCCAGGAACAACTCCATGGGGTCCATGAGGAACTGGTGGACCCAAGGGATTAACTGGACCCTGCAATAACAACAGCACCTAGATGAAAAATAAGCCCTGAAATCCTGTGTCTCCTTGCACTTTAAAAATTCTAAATCCAAATTATTCAAAGAGCCAAGATTTTATTTAGATTCTTTAATGAAGACATTCCCTGGAAAAGTCATTCTTCCTGCAGGTCCATTTATTTGGCTTATGGCTAACTAGAGAATAGGCAAAGTTAAAGCAAATTTGGCTCTAGTAACTACCAAATAGCTGTATTTATCTTGTAGTTCCTTTGTAATGAATTAAAGCAGCGCTTCAGCACAGGCATCTCCTCATTTCTCAGGGAAATGCTGTGTAACCACATAATCCTGTATGAAAAATGCAAGTTCTCAAAAAAAATCTCATGAACGAGCTTCACATCTACATCTTACACGATAAAACAAACAAAAAATATAAATACCAGTAACCTATACAGGTAAACCAGAAGTTTTCAGTACCATAAGGAAGAAATTTCCTTTACAGATTTAAGTTACAATTCAAAAGGAGTTTAATTCTTTGAATTAAAGTACTTTACAAATAAAGGTGTTCCTCCCCAGCCTCAGTTTGTACTTGAAAGAGTGTATTTTAAAAATGGATATATTTAATATATCCATTCCTTTCTTACTTATCAAAGAATACATTTAGTTACAAGAAAAAAAACAGGAATTTGAAACAAACAAAACTGAAGTGATTTTGGAGTGTATACCTGGGCTGAAGATGGTATCTACCTGAATACGGTAAGACTGAGACATTTACCATAGTAGTATGAAGACATGCAGGAAAAATTCAGTGTTAACAAATGCTTTCATCAAATGGAAAAAGCAGCAGCTTCCTCACTCCTGTTCTAATTATAGCAAGAATAGAGTTATATACTCACTCCAATCTTTTCTTCTATAAGTTGTCGTGCGTAATCTATTTGCTGAGGTGTTCCACGGATAGTAAACATCTTCATGTTTGGATCTGCGTTAGGTGGAGGATTTCTCTGAAGTTCTATTCTAGCACCAGATTGCTGGCTTATACTTTTGATAGTTTCACCACCTACAATACAATATACAACTTTTATCACGTAGTAAAAGAATGTAACTCAGAGTGAAATCAGATAAAATGAACTACATGGAAACTGGAAGACACACAAGCAACTTATTTTTCAAATGAGCCTTATAAGAACATTCTAATAATAATGAAAAAACCTTTCCCTTCAGTGCTGCTAGAGTTTAAAATATTTTTACTGGTTTATTGTAAAGACAAATTTTGTTATTCAGAAAGACAAGCAGAGAATTCCTTCCAATACTTCCAGATTTTTTCCATCCATGGAAAAATGTGAAATTAGACATGAACAGCAAGCAATACCTGTAGCTCTCAAAAATACAACCTAAAAGACTAAACTCCCTGGAAATGTGCTACTAAGCACAGGTGACCAAAAAAATTGAAACTGATCAAACTGTAAGGTTCATTTTTTTGCGGTGCATTCCAACTCAAAAGATCAAGTCCCTAAAGCAGTTTCTCCTCTTACAGGTTTCTGAAGTTATATGTGTCATTAGTAGTCATACACTTTATAAAGAGAGGTCATTGGCTCTTTTAAAAATCAACCTTCCAGGCCAAGAATTGAATTATGACAGTCTATTTGCTGTGCCTGGAAAACACATTACAAAACAGAATATTAAAATAATTCAAACATTGCATTTAGGAGCACACCATAAATTATGTTAAAGATGAAATTCCTTGATAAACAATTATTTTGATAATACAAAAACAGTTACAGTATTCCACTGTAAGACATCTTCATGGGAATATGCAAAAAATATCTTAAAAGAGATAAAGACAGAATCAATAACACTGATCTAAGCAAATAATATCATGGAAGGTATGCAACTTGTTTGTAATACACAACACCACCTTAAGAAACTACCAAACACTACAAATGTAACTTAGTATTTATTACTTTCAAGCACATGAGTTACAGAAATTGAGTGGCTCTTGATTTTTAACTACCAAGGTGTAAGCTTTGAGGAGGAAAATATTTTCAAGCAACAAGATTATTAGGCATGTTAGGAGTGTTATCATTTAGCTGGATTATGATCCCTCCTTTATATGAAACTCTTCATAAAGGCTTCCCTTGTGCAAACAGCTATGCTAGAGAGATATTTCAAGCAGAGAAGTTTAAACTTTTCAAATATGAGCATATAGACATATATATAAGATATATTGCCTTTGCCAATGATTAATCCAGTTTTGCCAGTGGGAACAATAAAATTGAATTCCTGTAATCCACCAGGAGGTCCCATGTTCCAGTTGCCTTGGCCTCTACCCCTTCCTCGACCACCAGGCCCTGGTCCACCAGGGTTACCAGCCTGAAAGAAAAAAAGAGAGAGAGTTGGTCATTACACGCTTCCTTATGCGCTCTTTATATATACATTTATAATTTTAGTTATACGCTTTTAGCTATACACTTAAGTAGCATCACTCACCTGAACACTTCGAAGAAGATCTGTAATAATTTCTGCAGCATGTTGACATCTATCTGGAGGCCCTGTGATCTGGGCTATTCTATCTGGAGTTGTTCCATCATCTGAAATAAAAACAATCTTATTAAAGTATATGTAAAACAGTAAAATTTTACCTATCCACAGAAACTTATGGGCATATTACCAACCTGGCTTAAATTGGATCCTAACACCAGCATCATTCTGTATTTTTTTTATCATCTCTCCATTTCTTCCAATTACAATACCTACAGCAAACCGTGGTATTGGAACCTTAAAGAGAACAAATTGTTTCAAGATGTAAACAATGCCAATATTCCTAACAAATTCACAAAAATTAAGGATTACATAATAGAATGGTATTTTAGGCTTTTTTGAAGGGTAAACTTTTTAAGATCTGCAGTAAGAAAAGATCACAACTTTATAAATACTACTGAAAAATATCCAAAGAAAAGGGGTCCTACGAATGGCAAGTTTTCACAACAGTAACAATTCCAGTGGATATCATGTTTCTCATGGTCAACAAACAACTTCTGGAAGGCTTAAAAACAGACATTATAGTAGATCAACATTCCAGTCTCACCTCTGCTGAATGGTTGTGATCTCATGACTTTCCTAAGAGGTGGAACTAAAGATCTTGCTGCAGTGGCCAAGATCCATGCTCTATAAGGTCATCCATCATTACATACTTAACAAAACTAACTTCCTTATAAAAGGAAGCTCTCCAGCTAGCTCAAGTTGTTCAAAACTGCTGGTAACGTAAAATGAATGACACACACCACTTAAAGGCACATTTCAGCACTGATTAAGTAATACTTGCAACACAACCATTTTTGGAATCTGATTAACAACTTTCATTGGTATTGATCAGCTTTAACATGTTAACATCTCAAAACACAGTGAACAAGTTTTTCAACCATGCTTACGTCTATCCCTTCATTTCCTCCTATTCTTGACCCATACTCGTTGCGCACCTCTCTAAAGCCACCTTGATCGCGAATTAACTCCAGCACCATTTCCTTGGCTTGCTAAAAGAAGAAGGAAATTTCATTTAAGTATTGAAGTGCTTAAGTAAAAAAAGACAAGTCTGTGTTGTGGAAAAACTCCTTACTTGCACTTTATAAGGATCTCCAGTTATCCTAAGGGGCTTGTCTGCACCAGTATTCTGTGGACCATCTTGAATCATGACCATTTTGACACCTGCTCGCTCCTGTTTAACAAAGTGGAGGTCAACACCCACTCAAATCCAGATCTGGTATTATCATGTGTTTTAAAATAATAGCTATACCTGTAATTGCTTAATTGTCTCTCCACCTTTCCCAATAACTAATCCTGCTTTACTTGCTGGAATCATAATTTCTTGGACTGCATTCCCAGGTCCATCACCATGATGAAAGCCAGGTGCAGGTCGTCCCTTTTCAACTATCTGATCAAGTAATCTTTTTGCTGACCTGTCAAGAAATATATAGTCATGAATATAGTGATGATTCCTACAAATCCTGCTTGCCTATGCTTGTTCAGCTTGGGGAAAAACAAACAAACAAAACAAATAACCCCCCCAACTTTTTTCCATCATCTTCACAGCTTTACTCACTTAATAATTAATTGAGAAACACGAGGTGCAATATCACATCCTTCAGTGCACACAGTTTCCCTAAACAGCTTTAAAGAAAGAGTAATCTTGGATCAAAGATTATATGAACTTCTCTATCGAAGTCGTTTTGCCCCTTTACACCAGGTCTCTTTCCGATGTGTATTCTTCCAGTGTCAAAATAGTTATCAAATTCAACAGCTTGTTTTGCAATTGGGATATTACCTCTTCCTTGGTCACCTGGTTTTATTTTCATTATTATTAGGGAACAAAGAAGAAATAGAAACAATATGTTGAAAGATGGAAGCATCACAGCATCTTTATTYTCTCCAATGAAATCATATGAAAACCTCAAGTTCATCAATTATAATCTCTCCCACGTGTCATCACGAACCTCACTCATTTCCTTTACTTTCTGATATCCCCTACAACCTAAATGGACATGTTCAACAACGTGGCCTGCTGCTGAGTTATTTGTTCTACATAAGCGAGGACTAAGTTTCCTCCCATCATGATATTGTAATGTATCAAACAGCATCTCCGTCAACGCTGAAGCAGGTTGAAAAGAAGTACCTGAACAATAATTTACAGGATATATATTGCTCTGCCAGAAAGAGAGAAATCAGTTTCTACTTGAAATACTCAACAGGTTGCAGCTAAACCAAAACATACTATCTTGGTCAGATAAAATACCAAGGTCCGTGAAATATCAAGGTCCACAAAACAAAGAACTTTGTCACATGTAAACATCCACATACRAACATCAAGACAGCCCTCCAAAAATTCATATCCATTAAAAAACATAGGCAGATTAAATATTATTCTTTTCTCTCAGACTCAGTTAGTCTGTATCAGTAACTTTAAGAAGATTAAAATCTAAAAACTATTAACAGAAAGCAATTCCACGAGAATGTGGCAAGTAGTAGACCTACGCTGAGTGTGGTTCTTTATGGAACGTTTTTATAAACGAGGAGAAAAAAAAAAAGACTATAAAATAAACTTTGTTTTAACACCAAGTATGGAGACAGCTGCTGCTTGATTCACCATGCACTTGTAAGCATTACCAGAATAATGGCCATTGCCAAACATATATATTCATCTCCTATATAGATCAGTCACAATTTGAGTAAAATCACAAGCAGAAAACTCTCCCCTCCAATACGTGTTTAGAATAAGTTATTATCACACAGAACATTCCTATAAATAACTTCTTGAACAGGAGCTCACTTAGTTCTAAGTGGTGACTAGCACCTGTCCTCACAAAGGAAAATTCGTAGCTGCAGGCCACACCTAAAAAAAATGAAGTGGGAGCAGCTAACGAAGAATGCAAGCCTACTAYACTCTACATCATTTCCAGCAAAGCCCACATAAACAGGTAATCAAGCAGTCAATTCAAAGTAGAGAACCTCTCTGCCTGTACAATAAATATTTTCTTATCTGTCATCTTCTCCCCTCCACAGAATGTGAAAGCTCACTTTGCCAACTGGTATTACAAAAATATTCCTTTTCATACCGTTTGTTGAAAAGGACGCACTCAGGAACTCTTGACAGGGACTGGGCTTTGAGCAACTCCTACACTCACAATTCACTAATTTTCTATATTTATAAATTTCTACTCTATTTACATTCTTCTTCTCTTCCCCGCCTCCCCAAAAAAAGAAGTGTATTGCACAGTTAAGGATGAATACATGGAGTTTGTTTTACTTACTGAACAGACTCTGGTGTTCCAGTTAGCATACAAGATCTTTCAGGCAGGCCTCCACTATCTAAGAAGGTCGTAAAATAAAACTGATTTAACAGTAGTATTAAGACAGAAAGAGATTATGAAAACAGATATGATACACAAACTATTGGAAAGTAGGAGAAGAATCATTGTATCACAACACTTTGGACAGTAATAATTCAAATTAGCACAAAACATTCAAATATACCTTAAATGAAGATACAGATAACTAGAGACAACGATCAGCCTTCTGAACCTGCTACCAACAAGTATACCAGAAATAGTTACCAGGCGCGATCTGTATTTTACATCCAGACTCTTGCTGTATGCGCGAGATCTGTTCTCCACCTCTGCCAATTACTTAAAGAAAGAAAATAGAGAAGATATTTTTTGTATTAACAGCACCTGCTAGCATTTCTCACTATACTGCAGCACTAGGTTCATACTACTTACTAAATCCAACCATTCCATCTGGAACTTTGTACTCTTCTGTCATCACAGACCTGTATAGATTAAATGCAAAGGAAACAATAACCATTCAAAGACAAAACTAGCTTGGTATTTAGATACCTCTTCCAGTTAACACAGCTGCCCCCATCCCAGCACAAYTGTCTCTCACTAATTTTAGGAGTCTGATACAAACAAGGCTTTCACTGAAACTAGGCTATTTTCAAAGTAAGCAACAAGCTASAATACCGAATGAATACTATTAGTAATGGAAAACAGGATACAATCATTTAAGAGTTTAAATCATAGAAGAAATTGATAAACATTTTCTTTCATCCTTTTTTATTACTGTGAGGGGTAAGAAGGCCAGTGTAGTGTTAAAATGTTTCAACTGTGGCTCAAATGAAGCACACTGAAAGCATAAACACATTTCAGCTATGAAAATTAGGCCAAAGATTAGAAGACTATTTGAATTTGGCTGTTCATGAAAGCAATGAGTGGAGAAAAAAGTTGTACAGATGTAGCTGACAAAACAGTACGTGGTTCTTTAGTTCACCTCCCTCCCTTTAAAAAGAAAAAAAACCCTGTTACATTTCTTTCTTATTTTCAAAATAGTGTTGACCCCTTCACTTCAGATCTGCTCCCAGCTTTTGGTTATGGTATACTATAAGATTATAGTGTAGTGTACTATATGACATAATACTAYAGGAGCAACACACTTTTCTTATGCTAATCTTGATGTATGGTACAGGCTCCTAAAGAAAAAAAGAGCATGATATTAATATTTCTTTCAGATGTTTGACCTGTGGCTGCTGAAGCTAAATTGCAAAATACTACTATACGTCTATAAATATAAAATATATCTTTAAYGCAGCAACATTATTCTTCCATTAGAATCCTTTTTTTGTTGGTTTTTTTTTTTTTTTTAGTGATATGTAAGGTGTACCATAGATGCATACTCTTACCTCTGTTGTTGATGCATTGGTGGTAGTTGATTTCCGAAAGCTATAAGCAAATATTGTTAAGATTAAACTCAAGTAGAATTATTTACAATTAAAGTCTTTTCTATAATTAATAATAAACTTAATTGTATCAACTTTGGCCCAAGCTGCCCTTTTAAGAAGTGTTATCACATGGTATAAAAACACAGTTAAAAAGATTCTCAACTGTGGCTAACAGAATTCTAGCAGTTTTAGAAAGCAGACTCAAACTGCTTCAAGAAAGTAGGAGATAAGTGAGACTTTTTTTGGTTTCACTGATCCAATATCACCTACCAGGTTACTCTTTCAAATTCTTGTTCTGAAATTTTTATGCTTGTTTAGGCTTACTGGCAACAAAATAAAAAATACTTACAGTCATTCTGAGGAGCAACTTTCTTAGCATCTGGTTGATCTGCAAAATTAAGATTTTTTTAAATGTTTGCCAAGAAATTCAAGAAGTGTTTTCACCTTTTAGTGTGAATTGTAACTTTCCAGTGCATTTTAGTCCCCTTTTTTTTTTATTATTATTTTTTTCCTCAATTTCAGGAAGCTGATCATCTGAATAAAAGAAAGAATCTCACGAACACTCAGCACTTGGTTAGTATCATTGAAAAGATGTTAGGTCCTTCCATATATCTATTAAGCAGTTTAATAAAAGGCAGTTTTCAGAACACACTGTAGATTGCTCATAGGTACCCAGTCACTGAAACTTAACTACGACAAGGAATAAAGTTTATCTCTGTTGGCTGCTCAAGCTAATGATGCTTCTATAGTAAAAAGAAATAATAGCAAAAAAAAAAAAAAAAAAAAATCAAATCCATACAAAATTTAACAACGACTTAAACAAAAGTTCTGACAAGAACCAGAAATCTAGATCAAGTATCTAAAAATACAACAATATCACATAGCAATGCAATCTCACTCTGAACATCGATATGAAATCCCTATCCAAATATCAAGCATTTCATAGCATAAAACTTCAAAAAAAAAGCAGATTCAAAGCAACTACATCACTACCATCCAAATCCTTTKTGTACAAATAAAGGAATAAAAGGCACAGTTAACCTATATCTGAAAAGATAACACTTCAGATGCTCTCTTCCCACCCCAAAATAAAGATTATATGAATCACCATAATTTATGTGCAGCAAAAACTGAGACACATATTCCAAGATATATTTGTGTCAATCCAGAAAAGATCCACTAGTTTATTTCATGTTTACATACTAAACACAGGTAATAAATAAAAATTCCTGCCTTTAAAAGGAGAGGGCATTCCCTCCCAGTGTGTTGTACTGCTCGGACTTGTCCAAGAGCCATCTACACATAAAATAAAAAGAATACATTACATATATCATCTGAAGCATCATTAGCTCATTTTTTGTATATTAAAAACCTCACCGTTAATAGAAAAAACTTCATTACGGGACACAAGAACTCCTGATATAAAGCCTTAGTTACAATCTGCAGACTGAGTTTCAATCCTCTTAAAGGAAGTAAAAAAGCATTGCTCTTACGTGACACCTACGAGAACATTTAAACAAGCTCAGATTTCTCTCCACAATTTAGCCAAGATTTTGAGTCTCTATTAAATATACCAAACCCTGTTTAGTTCAAACTAGCTAACAGAAAAAGAAGAACACATTTCAGGAAAAAACTTTACTGCATTATAAAGCAAATCCAAAAAGCTGCATCAAGTTAGGAGAYTTAAGTACAATTTTGTTCACACACACTGTATGTTCAGACATTAGTGAGCAAAAACACCTACAAGATAGAAAATCCACTTTTCTGTCTTTTTTTAAAGTCCTATGCTTTTACAATGAAATGCATTAACACGTTTGAGTCTGTGAAGAAACAAAGCATATGAAGCCAACTAATTTTAAGAAGTGACCACTTCCTGCTCTAATCGTAACTTATAAGCTGTAATCAGCCCTATACAATAAAGGGCCGTAATGACATAATCTGCGCAAAAGGTATTGCCCAGTTACGAATTTATCCGCCCATGCCCCAGCACATCTTTTCCTCTTYACTGCATTAAAATTGAAAATTGTATTGAAAACATTTTAAATCACTTCAGATTTCAATTACACAGCAAAACGTTTTAAAAGAATTTTCCCCATTTAATGAAAATGAAAAAGCATGTTGTGATCTATAAAGGGAACAAAACGGTTTTATGTTGTGCTATAGAAACATAAAACAAAAACAATAATAAATAAAAAAATCCACCTGCAATCTTTCTGGCACTGTGGCCAAGCCATAAGGAAGAAAAAAAAATGCAACAGTAATGAAGGCATACCTCCGTCCTCAAGAGGTCTTTTCTGTCCTCCATAACCGTAGTCGTTTGAATTCATTGACGTGCCAGCATCTCCTCCAATTTTTGCTGCAATCTAAGCATAAGCAGACTTTGTGAGCACAAATTAATTCTGACAGTCCTTATTTACTCCAGGTCTGCGGGACCATACAAGTGCTTGAGACAACGCACATTAATATCACTCAAAAAAGGTAAATAAAAGACTGCTRCAAGAAGCAATCCGGTGAACAGCCATGGTACCATCTTCTCTCCCAACGTATTCAGAAAACTTCTGTACTCATCCTGTACTAAGGATTTCTACCTATGCTCACTTCCCCAAACCCACCAAGGCTGGGGGGAGGGTGGGGGAAAACAACCCTCTTCAAACTTTCTTTTCTTCTAGAATAGACTTCTCCTATTTTACCTATACTCTGAGAAAATCTACGCTTTATATATATATATATATATATATATATATACATACACTCACACACATACATATATAGCTTAAGAGAGAGCCTGGCTGCTAAAATTATTTTAAATCCAGAAAGTTCTGCCTATACTTTTAAAAAAAATATTGCTACTAAAAGAATCGGCACTTATCATAAAGACAATACAGACTGAGAAACAGCGTGCCCGTTGTCTGCAAAGCTATAAATAAAACTTTCGGATTACCAAAAAGAAAATAATAATAAAAAGGAGTAACAAAGCCAAACCGCCGCGGCCGCCTTGGCGCCGCAGGCCGCGGCGCCTCCCAGGCGGCCCGGGCAGGTGAGCGGGCCGCGGGGCGCCTCAGGGGACACAATCCGCGCTCGGCCGCAGGGCTCCGGGAAAGCGGCGCGCTGCGAGGCCGAGACTGCGCCGGGCCGCGGGCCGGCCCCGCGCTGCGCGGATCCCGCGGCCGATGGCGGAGCAGGGGCGGCGCGGAGCCCCTCAATGTGCACGGGGAGGGCACGAGGCTCCCCGCTCCGCACCGCGCTCCCTCCGCGGCGGCGCCCTGGCCTCTCCTCAGGCCTCCCCGGGGCCGCCCGCCCGCTCAGCCCGCGGCACGGCCATGGAGGCGGCGGAGCCGCGGCGCACACGCACCTGTCTCGCCCGCTGCAGCGCGTCTTTAAAGGCATCGTTCACTCCGCCGCCGCCGCCGCCGCCTCCGCCGGGCGCGCCCGAGGCAGGAGGGGGCACCGTGGAGTAGTCCGCCATGCTCGCGCCGCCGCCGCTTCCTGCCCCGCTCGCTGCCTGCCAAGAAAGAAAGAAAATGGCGGCGGGCGGGAGCCTTTCACATTCCTGCGCGGCATCGTGCTCGGGGGGGGGGGAGCGCCGCGCAGCCTCGCGAGACCTGCGGCGGGGAGCGGCGAGATTTCATAGGGGTGCTGGAGAAGGCCCAAGAAATCTCGCGACGTTTCGCCCAGCCCCGCTACGTGGGTGTCGGGGCGGGGGGGTGGCAAGTGAGAGGAGCGGGGTCTCCCGGGGGTGCCCTTCAGGGGCGCGCGGGTGTGGGAGGGGTGAGGGTCGAGCGCTCGCGAGATTTCCGCAGCGGCACGGGATTTAGGGCGCGTCTGCTGATAGGACGGGTGACGTCACGCGCGTTCTATGTGGGGGATGGGGGAGGTGTTTGCCTTGCGCGCTGCTGCGCTCTCGCGGTACTTGCGCGCGGCGCCGCGAGGGCTGCCGGGAGCAGGGCTGGCCCGCCGAGACGGCGTCGCGGGGTGAGTGCGCGGGGGCGGCCCTGGCCYGCGGGCTGCGTCTTCTCCGCCTTGGTCGCCCTCCTGCCCGCGGCGGCATCTGCCGCCCGGGGGCTCCTGCGGCTTCCTCCGCGGGCAGCAGCACCTGCGGCGGGTGGTGTCTGGTGCCCGGGCCTGCCGGCGCTTCCGCCAGTGACGCAGGAGCTTGGGGGGAATTGGCCGGGTGCCCGGCGGCCGGGGCCGCGGGGCCAGGCGCGCTGTGAGCGCCCGGAGCGGCGGGGAAGGGCCGGGGGGTTCCCCCTCCCGCGCGGAGCGGGACGCGGCGGCCGTTGGGCCTGGGCGGCCGTTGGAGGCAGCGTCGCGGTAACGGGGCCCCCGCTCGGCCTCGTGAGCCGGCTTAAGGGCTGCATGCCCGCATAGGGTCATGCCTAAAGGTCAGGGCAATATTAAGTAACTAAGTGGAGTTTTCTGTGCTGCCCCGAGGAATGCTGTGCGTGCTCTTGCTCTTTAATCATATGCGTCAGACCGAGGCTTTTTCCCCAGGCGCCTGAGTTACATGTTTCTCCTCTTCACTTAAGTAAATAAACGCCCTTAATTTGAGGTGTTGTCGATTATTTGAATTCCAGAATTCTAGTTCGGGAGTTTTCCTAGCTATAGGCAACAAACAGASTGGGAACAGCTCTGCTGAAGTCGACTAAGAAAATTCCCGGGTGCTGTTTTCTTTCTTGATCAGCCTTGTAGGTCTATGCTGTCCTAAAAAGTTTCTGGTGTTTTGCTGGTAATCTCTGTTAACGGTTGTTTATGTTTTGGCTCATTCTAGCAGATGAATAGGCAATAGGCAAGACTGGCAAAAACACCTTAAGGCAGAGTATTGCTGGTGCTAAGGTCAAAGTATCCTGCATTTCCAGTTCAGGTGGCACCAGCCCAGAGCACTTAAGGCCTCTTAGTAGCTCTTTTTTTCTCCGAAACTTACCTAGTAGTATAGGTTAAAAGGCGAGTCTATTTGACTTCTTCCTGCAAAGCTACCTTTTTTTTTTTTTTTTTTTGAGTTGGATTTCAGCTTTCAATTGCAGGAGAGTAAAGCAGGCTTCCAAATTACTTTGACTAGAAAAAATGCCTTTTCAAAAGAACTAACGTGTACTCTTATGTCAATGTAGCTTTTTTGATTGGGGAGTAAAAATAGATTTAGAAAAGTAGGAACTTAGTTTTCATTATGAATTTTTTTTTTTGTATTCAAAATGGTAAAATTGACTTGAAATATTTTTTTCATTTCCTTTGTAATTGAGTTTGAGTAATTAAATTTTGAATTAATTTTACCAATGGTGTTTGCCTCTGAAATAGTGAAATTAATACTGGTTGCTGGATAAGTCTTCTTTGACTTGTCACCTCAGAATTTTTCCAGCTTTTTAGTAGTGTTTTTGGGTGACTTCACCTTCACTTGCTGCTGAGTAGCTTTTTTGTGGCATGAATATCCAAAAAGAAACCTCAAGAGGAGTATAGTATATGTGATTCCCCAGAAATAGTATATGTGATTCCCCAGAACTCCTCCTTCAAGAACTTGTAAGTTATTGAGAACAGTAGCTTTTTCAGATGGTGAGAACATCATCTTTAAGTATTGGAAGAGTACCATCCTGAAGTATTACACCCTTAATAACTACTAGCCTTATTTTCACTGCTCTTGTTTTCATTGTCTTATATTGATCTCTATCAAGAATTAGTTGAACTCCTGTTTGTTTTTCCCTTGATGGCAATTGCAGTCTGTCTCCTGGTTATCTGCGTTTCCCATGCATAGGGATGTGCTGTTTATTAAATCTTCCTTTGGTTGAGAAAACCTCTCCTATGGGATGAATTCATTCTCTTAAATCTCATAATGGGAGGGTRAGGGGGGTGGAAGGAAATGATCTAACTCCTTAGCAGTGCCACATTCTTTGGAGTGTGTTGCTGATTGCTACAGTAGCAGGTCTGAGGCTATTGTGCTCTTTCCTCTTGCAGAAGGTATTCATTGCRTGTTTACTCAAATCCCTGCTCTAAGAAATTAGATGAAATAGATGACAAATATTTGCTCTGTGCTGTCAGAACAAGAGAGCTTTGGCTTTGCCATGTAAAATGAGCTTCAGTTCTGTAGTAACTTGCTCCATTACTGAAGAAAGACGTAGTAGTAGATGCATCTTGCAGTTTATCTTTCAGGATTCTGATAATTGGGTAGGAGGTAACATGAATGGCAATATGGCATTTTAAAATGGCTTTCAGCATTTCTTTTGGAGGTTGTAGGAAGGTGATTTACGTTTTGTGCTTAAACSTCTCCAATATTGATATCTCATGGTTTTCAGGCTTTATTTTTTTAGTAACGATCAGACTAGAACATTTTGATAGGTATAATTACTGAGAAGCAGATATTTAAAATGAAAATCTGTAGAGCCGTAAACTTGGTAACTATATTAACTATAGTTAATACGTACATTAACTATGGAGTGTGTAGCTAATGCCTGGCTTAAGTGTTTGAGAACTCACCATTACTTAAAATCATAACTATACCATATATGGAGGAATCTGAGCTTCTACCAAAATATATCTCTGCCTTCCATTAAAAGTACCCTGGCAGAGAGAAAGAGAGAAACAGGACTCATCTAAATCAGGTAGATCAGGTGTTTCAAAATTCTGTTAGTGCAGAACTTGCCAAAAATCATCTGGGCTGAAAAAAGTGGTTCATTAGTACCAGTAAGATCTCTCACGGAATATTAGCTAAAGAATTAATTTTCTTATACATTGACTCTAGGATTCTCTGTGTATCTTTAACTTTGCCTTCATACGCTAGACACTTGTACAAGAAGAGTGATTGTGGTGTGTAAATATCGAAGAAGGATCGCTGTTGTGGTAGCTGCTCATCTGCCTGCTGCATTTTCTGCAAGTCATTGCCGGTCTGGGGAAATCTGTAGTTAGGATCTGGAAACTTCTTTTCTCTTGGAAATTCAAATCATGTTTCCTTTGTTGGAAAATTAATGTGCTCTGTGAATGTTCTGAATTTCCAGAACCTTGTGTGTACTTTTAATGTGTAATCACAATGTGAAGACTAAATTTGGTAGAATGTTGCAGTTTTCAATATTTCAGGTATTTTTTTCCTATAATTTCAGAGCTGAGGTAAAAAAAAATAGAACTGTGGTCTGAGGAATTAACGTGTTCAACATTACTTCTGCAGTGTTTGCAAAATAACATCTCATAGTAAGGCAAGGGCAAAAGATGTTCTTAAATATCCTTGCGGGTTAGTTGAAACCACTTCCTCATCTAGCGCTCAGCGATTCTTGCACACACAAAAGGCGCCCGGGATTCTATAAGCAGGAAACTCAGAAGTAACTACTGAGTGAGGGAAGTTTCTCCCTTTGCTCTAATCTAAACAGCTGCTAAGCTGTCTAGAGTGTGGATATGCATATTGAAGAGATGAATGTAAAATTTAGATCTGCAGTTCTGTCTGTAAGAAAATGTATTCATGGGAAATGGTAATATCAAAATACAGTTTTAAAAACTTACAAAATCTATGCAATRATTATAATTTTAAGCTCTTTCGAAATGAGGATCAAGGAGGAACAGTTACAGATTGAAATAGGGAGATCACTGCAGAATTCATCTGCTCATATGACCCAAGTGGTGGCCAGCTGTGTTTTCCTCTAAAGCAAATATTTCTGTTGTGCCTATATCCAGCCAAATGCAGAGGCATGAGTTTCTGCTGAGGAATTGGAGTGGGTAGAGAAAAAGTATGTGTGGGAGGAGAAGGGGTGTTGTAAAGGGAGGGCAGCAGTTCTGCTGCAGCTGCTGTCCTGTCTGCCTTTAGTCAGTGACAAAAATGCAGCTTTCCTTTAGCTTGTGAGGAGAGCAAAAATGAAGTTGTTCCCTAAACTCATATCTGATCCCCTGTGTGCCAACTTTGTATATAGTAAGCTTAAAGAAAGAAAAAAAAAGCTTTTAGGCTTGAGTTCAATCATGCTGCTTTTCTTAGAAAGAAAAGTTTGACTTCTATTTAAAGAAAAGCTATATTAGCATATTGGTTAGAATATTTATATTGTGTGTTTTTTTCTTGTGACTCTTAACTTGATATATATTTGATTAAAGTCAAAGTGGGTGGAAACTACTGCAAGTTTTTCATAGTCAAGCTTACAAAGGAGGGAATAAAAGGAAACTTCCCAAGGTTTCATTTGAGGTCTACCAGTGAGCGGTCATCTGGGACAGTTGCGGCACTTGACCTAATAAAAGATTAATCAATATGAYAACCTCTGAAATTCTGACTAAGTTACAGATGGCTAGGGAATTGCATTAAATATAGAGATAAAATGCCAAGCATGTGTTTCTTCCTAAGTCCAACTAATGTGCACAGTGAAGCAGTGAATCATCACTATATGGAATAAATGTAGTGCAGGGAGAACTGGATAATATTAGTCAGCATGATAACATGGTCATCAGCCTTCGAGGCCATATGCGTTCAAGGAGTTTGGATGTTTTRCTGTGAATGTCATGGGAAGGAAGACGCTGAGAGCTCAGAAGCTGTTTGCTCTCAACATCTGCAGAGCTCCTCCCACATGAGAAAATGTGGGTAAAAAGCGTGAAAGCTCTTGCTTGAAATGTAACAAGTGTGATAG